AACCAAGCTTTTTTTTTTTTGGGGGGGGGGGGGGGAAAGGAGGTATTTTTACCTAAGTATTTTTTTTTCGGGGGGATTTTCCTCGGGGAATATTTCGGGGGATTTTTTCCAGGGTTTTTTTTTCTTAAAACCTATTTTTTTAGTTCCAAAAATTTAAATTAATGCAGAAAATATAATACGGATTAGTTAAAGAGAGTTTGTTTACCTATACTTATTTTTAGTGACGCATTACTATACAATTTATTTGCGGTTGCGGAAATTTGCTAACATTGTCCGCTATTTTAAAATATAACGTTGTTTTAAGTATAACTATAAATTTGTATTCTATATATATATTTTATTGTATATAATGCAAGGTAAATTATTATTAAGTTACATTTTTGACAAGAAATAAGTTTTTATTTTGGAATATTTACTTCAAGAAATTCTTTGAATATTTTCGTTTGCTCCAACGAGTTCCAGAACTCAATTGAATAGCTTAACTTTTGAAGATCTTTTTTAGGAATTATATTTCTTAAGACAATAATTTTTACTTTTTTTTTGTTTTGGATTAAGCTCTCTAGATTGAGTACATTCCGATTGCATAGACCTATGACATCATCTAGAAAAGACCTATGACATCATCTAGAAAACCTATGACATCATCTAGAAAAGGGTGCTTAGCAGTTTGGTTTTTAAACTGCGAATTTACAATACCAAAGGTTGTTTTATTACTCAATATGCGAATAAATAAGTTTTACTTGTTTTTTTTTATTTTATTTGCATTCACTCTCAACAAAGGCTGCAAGCAACCACTATTAAGTTGGGAGTTACTTGGAAAAAAAGAACAAAGTTATAGAGCAAGGAAACGGTTGACAAAAGACTTGAAAAGTTGAAGGTTGTATGAGTCAGGAAAACATGAAGATGGGAGAGAGTTCCAAAGGATTGAAGTGTGGGGAAAAAACTAGATGAATAAAAGTTTTTAGAGCATGCACGGACAGATACAGTAAACGAATGAGACTTAGCTGAATGACGAGTAAAACGAGAATGAATTTTAGTTGATGGAACCAGAGATGATAACTCCTTTGAGCAGTGACCATGATAGTATTTGTAGAAAAGAGAAAGAGATACAACTTTACGACGATGGGAAAGAGGCTCAAGCTTAGCAGATAGACTAGGTCCAACAACATTTACAATGCGTTTTTGGACTTTGTCAAGAAGAGAAAGTGAATCGTCAGAAGAATCAGCCCAAATATGACAACAGTATTCCATACAGGGACGAATAAGAGATTTGTAGAGGTAGAGAATGGAATCAGAAGTAAGGGAATGGCGAGCACGATAAAGAGAAGCAATCTTAGCAGAAGCTAATTTAGCAATCGATTGTATATATGGTTTCCATGAAAGGTCAGTAGTAAGCGATAATCCAAAAAGACCTAAAGAGGAGGACTCAGTAAGAGGATTGCCATTCATCAATATAGGAATGTTGACCATATTACGGTAGTTGTTTGCAGTAAACAACTGGGTTTTGTTAGGATTGAAATTCACAAGCCACTGTGAACCCCAATCTATTACTGAAGTGAGATCGGATTCAAGATCAGCTGCTTGTTCTAGGCGATCGAAAAGAGAAGACTTTTTGTTAAGACAGGAGTATAAAGTTGAGTCATCAGCAAAAAGAGCTACTTTAGATAAAATATTTGTCAGGAAGATCGTTTTTGTAGATAAGAAACAAAACAGGGCCCAGGATGGAACCTTGGGGAACTCCAGAAGTTACTAATAATAAAGAAGAGTGTTGGCCTTCAAAGATGACTTTAATAAACCGGTTAGAAAGAAATGATTTGATAATCTCAAAAACTTTCCCAGAAACACCATATGAAGCAAGCTTATAGAGAAGACCACCATGCCAAACTTTATCGAAAGCTTTAGATATGTCGAGAGCAATAGCCCTAGCCTCACCGCCTCCATCTAATGCACGATAAAATCTTTCAGTTACAGCAGTTAACAAGTCGGTCGTAGAGCGAGAGGATCGAAAACCGTATTGATTGTCTGACAGCAGTTTATTTGACTCAAGATGAGATGTGAGGAATTTGTTGATCAAAGACTCAAAGACCTTGCTAATAACAGAAAGAAGACTGATCGGACGATAATTGGAGGGGTCAGAATTTTCTCCAGAGTTTTTGAATATTGGAACCACAGATACCATTTCGAACGAGCAGGAAAACAAGACTCAGTCAAACACTTGTTAAATAGTTTAGAGAGAATTGAAGAAAGTTCTGGAAAATAATTTGGAAGACTGTGACAGGAATGTTGTTTGGACCACAAGCTGTAGACGAGTTGAATTGAGATATGACTTTAGCAACAGAAGCCGGAGTGATTTGAGTGTCTAACAATGGGTCAACTTGTTTGACTGGAATGGAAGGAAGAGAAAGTCCACAAGATTCAAGAGTGGAATTAGAAGAAAATTTCTTTGCAAATAGTTCTGCCTTATCCTTGGGAGAGATAATAAGATCAGTCCCATGAATGGAATGTTAGATCTACCCTTGTTAATAATGCTGTTGAAGATTTTCCAAAAGTCTTTAGAGCCTAACTTCTGTGATAAGATGCGAGATTTAGTGAACTGAGAATAATGGAGTTTAGCATCAGAAAGCACCTTTTTACATCAATTTCAAGAGAGTTGTTCTTTCGAAAAAGATGAAAAAAATGATTACAATTGGATATAGCAACCGCACAAGAAGGAGATAACCATGGAGTAGAATGAGGCTTGACTTGAAACTGACGAGAAGGAATAAAAGCTTCCATTCCAGCCTGAATCCAGGAGGTTACGTAGGGAACGCGTTTATCAGCTGAGAGAAAAAACATCAGCCCAAGGACCATTACAAAGAAAATCACGAAAAGAATCCCAGTCAGCTTTAGGGTAGTAGTAGGTGGTGCGATGATAAGGTGAACCCAAAAAAGAAGTACGAGAAGAAAGATTTATAGAGATCATTGTATGGTCAGAACCACCTAAGGGAGATAAAGGGAGAAACTGAACATAAGCTAGGGTCAGAGACAAGACATAAGTCAAGGAGTGAAGGAAAATGATTAGGATTGTCAGGAAAACGAGTCACAAAAATAACTATCTGAGTAATAGATTAAGAAACGCAGAAGTTAAAGTTTTTAGTGCCAGCAGGATCAGTGGTGTTAGAGCCAAGCCTTTCAGTGTGATGGGCATTAAAATCACCAACAACAACAATATTGGCAGAGGGGTAAAGAGAGAGGGCATGGTCAATTTGATCAGAGATACACCTAAAAAAGTGCAATCATGGGAAGAAGGAGAACGATAAAGAATAAAGAGAAAGGTGATAGAATGAAGAAGTGCTAGGCGAAAGCACATAAAAGAATGGTCAAAGGATTCGAACCTGATTTCACGACAAATAGGGGAATTAATGCGTATATATAAACCTAGACCACCTAAACCTAGCATGTGACTTTTGGAATCTTTACGAATCAAAGGATATTACCCATCAATATTGACATCTGAAAAAGGAATTGCAGAATTTAAAATTATTTCATTGAGTGCAAGCAAGTCTGATGAATTTTGCAGGAGGTAAGACTCAACTAACGGAAAGTTGCTTCGCAGACCGCGAATATTTGTAAAAGACATATTAAACCGTCTAGGTGGCGGGGATGGTTTTTTAGGTTTAAAATTTTTGGTTACTTTGGTCATGATTTGGGTTTAATGAGAACTTGACTCATTCATAGATAGAGCACAGCCTCCTAATCAATGAGCTGTGCAGTTGTCTCAGTCCTGTTAATTAACCCTAAGCCGCGACACAGGGCTCCTTATGTGGCCTTGACAATGCACACCAAAAGCATTAACAGGGACACCATCCATGCGCAACATGGCACTGTTAATACTCTGATATTTTGCAGCTGTTGATGGAATCAGCTTCTCTGAGAGCTATCACAGAGTTTGGGAAACCTTACTACCAGCCGGCCTCAGTCTACGGGTGAGCAACCATAAATCAACCTACGGGTGAGTATATATATATATATATATATATATATATATATATATATATATATATATATATATATATATATATATATATATATATATATATGTGTATATATATATATATATATATATATATATATATATACATATACATGTATATATATATATAAATATATATATATATATATATATTAAGGCTACTCTAGACTGTTTTCGACAGCGTAGACTGCATTTGGTTTTTGTAGGTATTATTAAAATACCTACAAAAACGCCCAAATTTAAACTTGAGGACCTTTTTTTTATCAACGTTTTTTACAACAAAAATTGTTATCTTTGCGAAAAAAACTGCCGATTTTCCTCTAAAGTTCGTCGGACAAAGGGGTACTGCCGCCCATATTTTTTTCCTAGAATAGGCCCTGTATATATATATATATATATATATATATATATATATATATATATATATATATATATATATATATATATATATATATATATATATATATATATATATATATATATATATATATATATATATAAATATATATATATATATATATACATACAGGGTGACAACCATAAGGTGAAACACATAAAGTAAGCTATATTTTTTTTTAAAAAAAATATAGCTTACTTTATGTAAGCTAAATTTAAGAGTTATATTTATTCGAAAGTGGTATCAATAGAAAGCTACAAGTGTATTTAACAAGTTTTATTGGTTTAATTCGAACCTGTTGCCCTCTGCTTTTATGCAGGCTCGACATCTCTTGAAAAAGTTTTCACACGCGGCACGCACGGTTTCTTGTGGCATTTTGTCCCAAATGTCAATCAAAAGTTCCTTGAATTGGTCCAAAGTTGTTAATTTATGCTTCCCCAGTTCTTGTAGCATGTATCCCCAGACAAAGAAATCAAGGGGATTGAGGTCAGGACTCGAAGCAGGCCATTCTTTGGTATCGATAAAATCTGGGAAATTTTGCTTGCAGTAATCTTGAACAACAATAGCCTTGTGTGTAGGGGCAGAATCTTGCTAGAACACCCATGGATCATCACCATACATTTCTTTAGCCTTAGGTTCAATCAAATCTTTGATCACATTCTGTAAGTAGTATTCTTTGTTGATTTTCACCCCTCTATCGATAAATTTCAGAGGAAATTTTCCCTTTTTCCAGATGGCCCCGAATACCATGACCGCCGAAGCATTCTGATAACGAGGGACAGTTCTAACGTTTAAAGGAACATCAGAGAGCTTTACAGCATAAACTCTGTCATTTTTTCTGTTCAACGGGCGCTCCAAAGTAAACATTTTCTCGTCCGAAAAAACAATATCTGCACCACCGTGCCGCTTCAATAGCGATTTGCAACGCTTGACTCTTTCCACCTTGTTTTTGTCAGTGAGGCCGGCAATTTTTTGTTTACGGTAGCACTTAAGTCTTAAATCTTGTTTTATAACCTTTTGCATAGAGGTATATGATATGTTCAGCTCTTTAGCTAGCTGCCGACCTGAGCGAGCATGATTTTTTCGTAAACGTTCTCTTACCACTTTGATGATTGCTGGAGTGTGCTTGACGCGCTTCCTTTTTCTAGTTTTAGCTGGAATTGTTTGCCCAGTAGTTTTGTAACGAGAAATTGTTTGACTAATCAATGATTTGCTGACTTTTATATCATTTAGGCGTCTCCAAATATCAGCTTGACCTAAATTTTTTTTGTGTAATGAAATTATCAGCTCCCTGATAGGATTTAGATCTGCATTTTTCCATACAATTCTCATTTTTTCTTCCTAAAATTTTTAAAACTTTTTCTAAACAAATGTCAAAACAAACTGTAAACAAGGGGAAAGTTATATGGTACGGGGTTAATAAATGATTGGGGTTCGAAAATGTGTTTCACCTTATGGTTGTCTCCCTGTATATATATATATATATATATATATATATATATATATATATATATATATATATATATATATATATATATATATATATATATTCATATATATATATATATATATATATATATATATATATATATATATATATATATATATATATATATATATATATATATATATATGTATATATATATATATATATATATATATATATATATATATATATATATATATATATATATATATATATATATATATATATATATACACACATATACATATATATATATATATATATATATATATATTTATATATATATATATATATATATATATATATATATATATATATATATATATAAATAAATAAATATATGTATATATATATAAATATATATACATAAATATATATATATATTTTGTTTTATTATTATGTTTTGTATATGTATGTATGTTTTGTATATGTATGCATGTATATATATGTATATATATTTTGTTTTATTATTATTGTTTTATTTAATGTTATATTATTTATTATTATATATATATATATATATATTATATAAATATATATATATATATATATATATATATATATATATATATATATATATATATATATATATATATAAATATATTGCTATACAATTGTTGATATATCTTGGATGTAAAACAAAAAATGAATATAATTTTTGAAAAAAGTGCATTCCTCCCTATTATATCAAGCTTTTGCATTAGTACGTCTTTAAGTCGCAAAGTTCAAGACCATACGTAAGTATCGGAACCGCCAATGTTTTATATAGATGGACGATAGAGTTTGGATGAGCAAAGCGGATTCCAGACTGAATAAGAGTTTGAATTATTGCCCTGAATTTTGATATTCTATTATCAATATTTGAATGATTAAGTGAGGCAAAAGAAGAGCTTTTAGTATCCCATATAAAACCTAGATGATTAAGTTTATCATCCAGTTTTATTTGTTGGTGGTCGATTGTTATCGTGCAATTTGCAATTTGTTTTTTTCCAGTAAACAAGAACTCGGTCTTATTCGTTAAGTATAACTCTGATTTACAAATTTTATGGAAAGTTTATTTAGAACAACTATTCTCTAATATATTCATTACAAAACCGCTCAAACGTTTTTTTTTTTTTTTACAAAATCATAAACATTTAGAGATTTTTATAATATATATTGTATACTTATATATAAGCAGGGCCGTATACTTATATATAAGCAGGGCCGTACCGAACGACAAAGGAGGGAGGGATGCGCAAAGGAAAAAAGCTAACTTTACAGACAAGGGTTTTATTTCAATTTTCCAAATATTTCAGTTTTTCTAAATTTCCGTTCTAACCGAAAGAGTCCCAAATCTTCCAACTTTCCGACAAAAACCGACAGAATTTTGTAAATTCTGTCGGTTTTTCATCAACTGTAATATATATTCTTAGATATATATACACTTAGATATTTGGGCACCCGAAATTTTTCCTTAATAACACAGAGGTTTTAAAAAAGTAGCATAAGTGCTAGCATTAATTAAGTAAAAAAATACCAACCTGACAATTAGAACTAATTTTTGGAATATAATAACTCATTATTAACAAAACTTATCATTAATAGATCAAATTTTAGGCTTTTTTTTATCAAAAACTTTGTTTGTCGCAACAACAACAAAAAAATTAGTTTGTAATTTTTTAATTTTATTCACTCAAACCTATAAATGTCAAAAATTCAAATTTTTTGAATTTAAATTACAAAAAAAATATTTAGTATTGTTAAAATATTAAAAATCAATTTCAAAAATCAATTAAAACCACTGCGATTTTAAGACTAGGTAATTTCAATGAAAAGCACTGTGTGTGTTTTTTTATAACAATATAATCTATCTTATCAAGTCTTTTTCATAATATATTCAACTAATGCATCCTAAATTTAAAATTATTACAATTTTTTTTTTTTTTTTTTTTACATTTTTTCTTCTTTATTTTTGAGTGTTATTTTTTCTGTTTTTTTTTTTTTTTTTTTTTAGATTTATTTATGTTAGATTTATTTTAGCAATATTTGATAAATATAATCTTTTTTAACGGAATTATAATTTACTCATATTATGATGTGTAAAAAATTGTAGCTAATATGTAGTTGTGAAAATACATTTTTTCAGTTCATCTTCCTTCCTTATCAATATCGTCAGCTCTATTTACCAAAGAAGTACCAAAGAAATCTACTTGAACTATGTAAGCCCTAGTCAAAAAGTTTTATTGAACTCTTAACTTAGTAAAATTACACGGAACGGGCGTGTTCCGCAAGCCCATTAACAGCTAGCCGGGCTAGCTTGTGCATGATTGCACGAGAGATAATTCGTTGTAGTATTTATGTTGATAGCTGATATTATGATTTAGTATCGTCTAAATGACGTTGATGAAGGTTATCGTATCGTTGATGAAGATTATGAAGAACGTAGAACGTAGCGTTGAACCTTGCGGAATGCCAATGGTGACTTATTCCCAGTATGATGATGTGTAACCGAGAAGAACGCGTTAAGATTTATTTGAAGAAGGCTTTAATCCAGCCAAGAATTTTACCTTCAATTCTGTTGAATTCTTGCTTTTGCAATAGTCAAGAAAGAGCACGTCTAAAGAAAGTTTATGAGATACGCTCTAGGTTAGAAAATCCATGGAATCCATTGTTTTGATGAAACCGTGTTGACAATCGGCAGTTTGTTGGTAACTATATATTTATATTTATAATCGCAATGCAGAAAGCTTTTTTGACGAGGTTTCGAGTGAAATGTACCAAAGCTTCTTTTAAAATTTGGTTACGAGAGAAGTTCATGTTTGGTTGGTTTGGAGGAGACGCGTAGAATGAATTTGTTGCAGCATTTGATAAAGTTGTCGCAGAAGATTTGTTAGTATTCATCGGCATATTGATCTTTAAATAGATTTACCCAATTGACTTGGGAGAGTTTCTTGCTTAGTTTGGAATAGCTGCCTTTATTATATTTGAGCTGTTAAAACGAGGAGAGTAATTTGTATTTTTGGTTAACCAAAGTTTTGTCTTTTTTTTGTTGCTGTTCCAAAATCTTATAGATCCTATAGGCTTTTTTGGCTAGGGAGGGAACAGTTGCTTAAATCTGGAATATAGGACGAAGAACTGCTCCCACCAACTTTAGGTGCTAATAGATGTCACGTTAGGGGAGATAATTACAAATAATGCATATGGCGAAACGCAACTAGGCCTAATTGAGCATAATTTAGATGATATCCAAAACCATAGGTTGTTGATTGGTGAAGCAGAAATTTCCATTGAAAGGTTAATAAATCCAATTGCGTCGGACAGTGTGTTGAACTTTGTATAGTAACTGTTTAGCTGGTTGTGACAGCTTGTTGTGACAGCTGGTTGTGACACTACTGTGGTAACTGCACAAGGTGTAGGAACACCGCTTCTGTTGACATCAATGTTTATGATGACGAGTTAATGATTAAGAAAAATACATAGAAGACTTATTAGAAGACGATGCTTTGTTAGAATAAACATAATTCCTTACTTTTAATTAATAGTTTTTCATTCTTATATTTAAATATAGTTTTAAATATTTTTTTAGAGAGAGAGAGGTTACAAAATATTATTTTGCTATTGTAAATCTATAAAGTTGATATTTTTATTCTATATATTTTTTAAGAAGATATTGTTAATGCCCAATGGGTACACGACATTGATCCAACGTTGGATTTGTTTTAAGTTATGCTAGGCGACATCGACCAAGTAATAACGTTGGTTAAATTAACATTATTTTTTATCAGAATTACAACGTTTTTGTAATGTTGGTTAAACTAACCAAAGTTACTAAAACGTTTATGAATATAAATGTTTTAGTAACATTTTCATAAAAAATAAAGGTTTATGAATATAAATGTTTATTTTTTATGAATATTTCAATTTTATTCAGGCCCATACCATGAGGAGGGGGGGGGGGGGAGGGAAATGTTGTTGGGTGTGATCAACCCCACTTTTTATGCAATCTGCCTTTTTTAATTTGCCGCAAAAAATTATTTTTAGACTCTTTTTGATGTCAAAATATTTAATCAAAATTTTTATGATAATTATTTGATTTTTATGAACTTCTTAATAAAGTAAAACTGTTTCATTCTCATGAAACAGTTTTACTTTATTGTTTCACAAAAGTAAAGCATCATTACAAGTCATTGCACTGTGAAATCTTTTGTAAACGAAAAATGAAAAATAGTCTCTTATTCAAGTAACATTCAAGAAACAATCGACGATTTGAACCATCTACGTAAAAAAGTTGAAAAAGAAACTTACGCAATTTACTAACTAGCTACTCGTATGGCAAGTAAATTATTTGTAGAACCAACAATTCCTAGAATCACTATGAGACATGCTTACAGAAATAACGTACCTGCAGAGAGTCCCCAAACATATTATAAACAAGCCTTGATTATGCCTTTTCCCTACACCATTATTTCAGAAATCAAAATACGATTCCAAAAAACAAATTGCATTGCTGCAAAGGTTTTATGCTTAGTTCCCTCGATAACTTACAGTGAGGAGATAAGGAATTCATGTTTAAAAAAAAAAAATGATTTGTTATTAAACCTGAAGATAGGTTTAATACTCTAGCTAAAGCCATCAAAATTTCTGCAATGAAAATCAATATCCTAATCTCTTTGAGCTTTTAAAGATTGAATGTACACTACCCGTAACGTCCGCAGAATGTGAACGCAGTTTTTCAGTAATGCGAAGATTAAGAACATGGTTGAGAGCCAGTATAACTGTAGATACACTTGGTTCATTAGCCATCATGAATATCCACTACAGTGTTATTGTTTATAAACAAGTCTCAAAATTTTTATTTTTTTTTTACATCCTAGAAAATTGTATGAAAAAAGTTTAGTTTTTGAATAAAAATTTAAACCATTTATCAAAGTAATATTAATCTTTGTATTGATACCCATTTTCTAACAAGGAGCTTACTTATACGCTTATGCAGTATAAAAATAGAAAAAATATTCGGAGAACAATAAGTTCGTATATGTAAACATTGTTTCCACAAATAAAGCTATGTTTCACAAAAAATTTTATTAAGTAAATTTAGTAAGATTTTTATTTGGTGTTTTAAATCTGCCTTTTTCTTTTCAAAAACGACCCCCCTTACTAAAAAATTTCACGGTACGGCCCTGTCATATAAAAATAAAAATAACATTAAATAAAAATAAAAATAACATTAAATTATAATTAGTGGTTTTAATTTTCCCCGAAATAAAGTGAACTTTAATATAATTGAATTTAAAAATATAAAAAATTGAATTTAAAAATATAAAAAGTTGAATTTAAAAATATATTAGTAAATATTTCCGTCATTGTATGGTTGTGAAACTGTGAAGCGAGTTGATTAATGTTCAAAATCGAACGTTATTTATTCTTTTCATGTCCAACATTAATCCAAGAATCAGAAAAATGTCCAACATTAATCCAAGCATTCAGAAAAAATTCTTTTTTAATAGTTAACACCAAAAATCGATAAAATTTGTCATTAGTCTTTTCGTGTCTTTTCGAAGTTTAGAGTTAAGAACTGCAAGTTTTTGAATTGAGAAAGTTTTAGTTCACAATTTTCACATCCTAGCAGGTTAATATACATCTGTATTTTTTAGTTCTCATAACTGCACCAAGAAAATTCATTTAAAAGCATGTTTTCTATGTTTTGGCCCACGGTCTATCAGGTCAATGCAGAGTAACGGTGAGCATACTCAAAGCGGCCGTATTTGAAAAAATGAACTACAAATACACTTTTGCAATTAATTTTAAGATGAGTTAGTAAACTTGATTAAAAGTAAAAGTTAATAAACTTAATAACTTTACAATTTAATTTTAGTTGTGACATCTGAATGTGCTCTTTCCTACAACTTTTTAGTGATTTAAAATGAAAAATTCATTTAATGTCAACAGCGAATTCAGGTTTTTTTAGTTGCTTGCAATAAGGTAACTTTTGGCACGGGGGTAACACTTAACTTTTATAATGTTTACATTAGCATTATATAAAGATGTTTAACCAAAAATAGAAACAAAATTATCTTAACTAGTTTTCTCCCTTAAATGCAAAGACCAAGTAAAGAACAGATTTGAACCTGTATAGTAAATACCTAACTTTTTAATCGGGATAGCTCCGTTGTTTAACTCGCTGCTAAAATTCTAGATTACCAAAGTTAAGCTCTTTCATCAATTTTACTATTGAAATGTTTCCTCTGCAATTGATGATTGTTCAATGTTCACAGCAAGGGGTATAGCAAGTTCAAGGTGTAATTCACAGCATGGGGTATATTTTAAAAACTAGTAAGACTAAAATAAGATTTGTCTATTATTAAAAATATTTGAATATATTATTATCCTTTAAAAGAATGAGAGTTACTATTGATTATAACGAATTTAAAACATAAACTTTACTTCACTAATGTTATGTAGATTATTAGTGCTTATATCTACTAAAACGTTACAAAGTTTGGTTTCTTATAACTAAAGTTCAAATAAAAATGACTTAAATTATTTTCTTTGTTGTTGGTCGTGGAGGAGATGGTATAAGTCAAAAATAAAAGTTTTGGTCGTCGTTCCCTTTAGACTTAATTTCTGATTATTTATTACAAACAATAATATTTACGTAAATAAAATGATATCGGCTAATTCTAAATAAAAACCACGTTAAAATGTTTTTGACGTCATAAGCTAAAATTAAACTTAATATATAATTTCAATTTATATTTAAAATAATTTATTTTAATAATTGTTGTTAAAGTTTTATTATTGAATAATATTTTTTATACTAACAAAAAAAAAAAAAAAATTAAAAATTAAAAAAAAATTAAAAATAAATAAATAATAATAATGTTTTGTTACATGCATGTTTACTTTTTGTCACAAGTAATATTTAATTATAAAATAAATACTTTCTCAAAATCTGGATAGCAACAAAGATATACTTGTATATAATATATACAGTTAAATTTTTGAATTTATATAAATTGTATATATATATATGTATATATATATATATATATATATATATATATATATATATATATACATATATATATATATATATACATATATATATATATATATACATATATATATATATATATATATATATATATATATATATATATATATATATATATATATATATATATATATATATATATATATATATATATATATATATATATATATATATATATATATATATATATATATATATATATATATATATATATATATATATATACAAATATATTTGTGTGTGTATGTTTGAAAAAAATTTATTTTATTGATTGAATATATATTTTTTAATGTTTAAGATAAAATATCTTTCTTAAAACCAATTTCAAATAGTTACACCTGCACAAATGCAATGTTATTAAGAAACATGATTTCTGTTTATATCCATGTGACAGTTTAAGTACAGGTATTTATATTCATTGCTTTGATTTTATTTATTATTTTACCTTGGATAGTTTATGTTTATTAATATTAAAGTGTATTTTATAGATATTTTTAGAAATGATATCGGAAAAAAAAGGCAATGATAGTAGTCACTTATTTAATCTATTAATTTTATCTGTCAGAATTCAGAGAATTTTATAAGAATCCCTTTACTTTTTCCTGAATTTGTTTTTTCATTTCATTTTACTTAAGTCAATACAAAATTTTTAAGATATCAAATAAAAATAGAGATAAATTTTTGGTACAAAATATTTTTATATATACTCTATAGCATTTTAAATTTGCTTATATCAAGCATATATCCTTACTAGTTAATAAAAATAAGGATAAAGTTTTCTGAACAAGGTAAAAATGAAAATAAAAACTTAATTTTTTAAACAGTTTTTACATTTTGAAGGTGATATTTTTATAAAGTTAAGTGAAAGACTTATACAGATTACACAGTCATGATTGCAATTGTTTACTATTATCGTGGATCTTGATTCTATAGTATTATATTTGATCTATAGTATTATCTTTTGGTGAGTTGTACAGACAATACATCTCATTTTGGTATCTACTTATATTAGGTCAGCAAACAGATCTTTATCTTTTTTTAATATCTGTTAATCTGTTAATATCATTATTCAGGAATGCAAAGTTTTTATAAATACTTTTGGGAATCTAAACTCTGAGGTGAAAATTAACTATTTGGACTTTGGACTACAATATTTTTTTACAATTTTTTTATAAGTTTTTATGAAAAAAAAAAAGCTAGCTAGGATTATTTTATAAAGTTTTTATCACAATTATAAACATAATTTATTATGTATTGCTAAAGCCGGATAATGAGAATTAATGAGAAAAAAACAGGACAGGGGCAGGACACATAAGTAAGCCCCGAGTTTAACAGTGAGTTTTAAAACTAGAAACCCAAATTTTTTGTATTGCATTTTAAATATATAAAAACAGAAAAATCAAAATTGCATGCATTCATTATATATCGAAATTTTAACATAACATTTACTGTTGCTAAAATGGAATAAAAGCTTTTTTAAGTTTTAAAAAAGATCATAAAATAACTAGTACTAATTCAATTAATAATTAATCCTTAAAATAAATAAATTGTGATTTTCATGTAAAAAAAAGTAATTAAATCATGTAAAGTTTCTATAATAGTTTAGATTTGTAATTAGATCAACTCAAATAACACTCACTTTGGAATTATGATATGCTAAAGCAACTCAACAAGCATCTTATGAAATTTCATGGAATGCTTTTAATAGCTTTCAATAAATCAATTTTTAAAATCTCATCTACATTAAAAAAGTTGACTTGATTGTTCCAATTATTTTGGCCTACTGTTTTAATTGTGCAAACATGGTTTGGAAATTCGGCCTACTGTTTTAATTGTGCAAACATGGTTTGGAAAAAATATATATATATCTGATGTAATATAATTTGTTTTTATTGATTATAAAATTGCTGATACTAAGATGGCTTTTAAAATGACATTTGAAAAAAAAGTCTGCTCCTACCTTCTAAATGTGTTATGTATTATTAAATGATAGTAGTTGAAATATTCTTTACAGTAAGATTGAAAGTAATTAAAATTGCTTTGTTTAAAGAAATCTTTGCAAACAAACTTTATAGATTTTATGTAGTTGAACAAAAAAATTTCAATATAAAATTTGTCATTTTGCAACTGATTAATCATGTTGCTCATAAATAATTTGTGGTACTCAGACTATTTGGATATGTAATTATATATATATATATATATATATATATATATATATATATATATATATATATATATATATATATATATATATATATATATATATATATATATATATACATATATATATATATATATATATATATATATATATATATATATATATATATATATATATACATACATATATATATGTATATATTAGGGCCTGATATATATATATGTATATATCAAGGCCGGATTTAGCCTTTTGGGGGCCCTAGGCCAAAACATTTTTAAGGCCCCTAAAATAATTTATTTTTGAAAAAAAAAAAAATCATTTTTTTATTTAAAATTTTATTATTTAAACAAAACAGTGTGAATATTGAGAATTTAATGAAAAATAAATTTTACAACATTTTTGATTTTTCTACACATTATTTTTAGTTTTCAACTTTTTATGTTTATTAAATTTTGGGGCCCCCAAATGTTGGGGGCCCTAGGCCGTGGCCTAGTCAGCCTATAGGTAAATCCGGCCCTGATATATATATTTATATATATGTATGTTTTTTTTTTTTATTCACCTCCCCAAGGCCGAGAAGGCCACTACAGACGAGGAGGCATGTATATGTATATATATATATATATATATATATATATATATATATATATATATATATATATATATATATATATATATATATATATATATATATATATATATATATATATATATACATATATATATATATATATATATATATATATATATATATATATATATATATATATATATATATATATATATATATATATATATATATATATATATATATATATATATATATATATATATATATATATATATATATATATATATATATATATATATATACAGGGCTTAATTTAACAGTCGAACATTGGACATTGTCCGGCTAAAACCTCAGATAGTCCGATCAATTTACAAAGTCATCGGACATTTTGTCCAGCAAGATTTTTAATTCTTAAAAATAAAATTTTATTTGTTGATTTGAAATTGACAAATTTAAACTTAATGTTAACTATTAGACAAACTTATAAAATATGTTGATAATGGAGGTTGATTTTTTAGGTTTTTTTATGATAATTTTGATAAGTTAAAATTATTTCAAACAGTATATTATCCCTATATAAATTGCTAGTGTTTTAATTTAGACAAAACTATTAATTAAATTAAAGACTTATTCACCCAGTCTTGTCTCAAAAAGTGTCATTGTATCTTGTAATCAAGCTATTTAAAATGGTACATGATATTATCTAAAGTCAATACAAGAAACAAAGTGAGAAAGAAAGAAAAACTAAAAGCTGTAGTAGAGAAATAATTATTTAATTTATGTTTAAAGGAATTAAATGTGTTTTAATCTTTAATAAATTTCTAAATTTTAAAGTTTTTACTCATTATCTAAGTTGATAAACATAGTTTGCATTTAAACTAAACATTATTCACTGATGCATTATGTTCAAATAAAGTTATATGAATAAAAATCTAATATAGAATTAGACAAAGAAGATATATAAACTCTTGAATCCATACTATTAAATGCATATTAACACTTAATAATACATATAAAGTCTGTACCCAATTGTGAAAATTAGAAAAATAACTCAATAATCATTAGGTGAAGGTTATATCATAGGTTAAAAAGTAGTAAATATGGTGTCATAATTTATTTGATAAAATGGTGAGCTTCGCACTTTGATAATTGCTTGTATCTACCTTCTGTATATCGCAAATATATTTGCAGACAATTTTCAAACATCTGAGAAGAGGGTTTGTGCAAAGCATTTTTTCTAAAATTCCGAGACTTTGTTGCATAATGGAAAAGTATTAAAAGTAACTTTACTCAATGAACAAATTTACATAGTTAAAGTTTAGATTACTTCAGACAAGTATGAAAGTAAATATAACTTTGCTAAATATAAATATTTATATTGTTGAAAGTTAAACTAAGTCAGTTGCATATATCAAAGTTTTTATTTTTTATTTATTTTTTCTTATTTTTGTAATTCACCTCCCCAAGGCAAAGAAGGCCACTACATTGAGGAGGCTACTTGTGGTTATAACCCTCTCCCAACTCTATAACTCCGAAACATGAACCTTGACAAACAAGGCTGCTGCGCGGAGAAGCAAGTTAAATACTGCATTAAAAATTATTTAATGTCTTTATCTTTATCAAAACTTTTTTTAAATATATTTAAATTAAACAATATTGTTATAATAAAAATTATAAAAATTCAAATGTTGTTTGAAAAAAAAAAATTTCTTTATTTAAAAAAAACTTATACTATTAGTTTCTTAAACATTTTAAAGCACATACAACATTAACTCCATAAACATTTTAAAGCACATACAACATTATCGTCTTATGTTTGTTTCTCACAATTTAGTAGTTTTTTTTTAATGAAGGGCAATCGTTTATGGGTAAATATCTTAAGAGTTGGAAAAAAAAAAAAAAACAATTAAATCTTTGCATAAAAAATAGTGAATCATTTCTAATCAATGTTTATTCTATGGTTATTTTAAAAAATTAATGAGAAATTAAAAACTTTAGCTTAAGAACAATATCAAACTAAAAAAAAAAAATCATCTTTTCATAACATTTTTATATAAAGTTTACTAAAAAAATTCTCCAAAATAATTTTTCCAACATGCTTGATTATAGTTAATCCAGCAATGCATTTATATGCAATTATACTCCGCGTAGTTAAGGAGAGATCCGATGATTTGCATTTCTTAAAAACAAAAATTTACATTTTTAAACTTTAATTTTTTGTGTTTTCCGCTTTTTTTTTTCCTATTACTGTTATACATTTTTAAAAAGTAGAATTTAAGAAAAATTTTAAAATTTAAAGTTTTTTAACTTTAACATTGTTTAGAAATTTTAGCAGTAAAAAAAAGATGTAAAATGGAGCATTTTATGTTAATAAAAAAATTTAAATCAAATTTCATAAAATAAATGTAAGTTTATTAATATTTTATAATAAATTTAATTTAAATATAATAGATATTGATAAAAAATATCAAATATAATTGTCATTCAAACTTTTTTATGTAATTGTAATTGGAATGAATCGTCAAATGGAGCATTTTATATTAATAAAAAAATCTAAATCAAATTTCAAAAAATAAATTTAAGTTTATTAATATTTTATAATAAATTTAATTTAAATATAATAAATATTTATAAATAATATCAAATGTAATTGTCATTCAAACTTTTTGATGTAATCGTCAAACTTCAGAAGAGATTTTTATGAAGTTAATTACTTTATCTTACCGCTTAAACAATATCTTTAGACTTGTTTAAATATTAAAAAATGATAAAAAGTGGCTTGACTGAAATTACTTCTAATGACTGTTTAATAAACTTTTACTAAAAATTGTTATATGGGTTTACATTTTATATTTTATTGTAAAAATATTTTTTTAAAAGTTGCAGAAAAAAAAATTTTTTTTAAATAAAATATTTGTTTAAAAGGTTTTAAAAAAACCTTTTAAATAAATAAACATCACAAATGTGATTAAAATGATTAAAACATCACAAATTATTTCAAAACTTTAAATCAACAAAATACATGTATATATAAGTAAATAAAGTTATTTTTATATTCTTGAATAGTTTATATAAAATGTTACTACACTTATTATAAGCAAAGGGTCATTCATAAAGTATGTACACAAGTAATGGGGAAGAGGGACGTTTCCCAAAAGCGTGTGAATGCATACAATGGGATGTTAAAGACAGTGAGCATGTATGTGGTTTCACTATCTCTCCTTAACTTGATTTTATTTTTAATTTTTTTTTTTTTAAATATTGAGTTTTACATGTGTAACAAATCAGTATTGTGTTGTTTTTTTTCGGATTTCAGTCATAAATTTTTTTAATTTCTTTATAAATAGTGAAGAGAGAAAAAAGAAATCAAGCAACTATTATTCCAAATTATATTTTGTATTTTTCGCAATATAGTTTGATTGGTAGCAAGATGAGAAGCAAAAAGCCATCAAATAAAAGCAAACTTTTTAAAATTCTTTTTTTTAAATTACTGTACGCAAACTGTTTTTTATCATTTCTCTTAAAATGTTAAAATATGTTGTAACATTTTAAGATTTAAATCAGTGCATTAATTAACATTTTAAGTTCTAATTAAGTACAGAGAAATGTCAAATAAATTAAATATTTTTTTTGTTTTTTATATTTTGAAATATACAAACAATATTAGCAACAAAAAAAAAATTAATCACAAAAATACTATTTAGTGTCCACTTTAATGACATTCAACCTGTTATCTTTTGTTTAATAATTTTAATTTTGAATTTATTATGTGGTACTTTTCAGTTAAGCAAAGGTTGCATAATTTTCCTCAGGATTTATATGGTTGCAGTTTATCAACAATTTTTCATGTTATAATAGGGTTTGTATATCCCTTTTTTTAAATCTCTCACATAATTTTGGAAAGCTGTTTGCTTACTCTCATATTGAAATGAATTTTTATGTTGGTACCAACAATCTTTAAAAGTGTTTATTATTAATCCAATATAATTGAATCCACAACCTTGTGATAAAGTTTTTACGTTACAGCTGTATGCTATGTTTTTTTGATGCATTTTTCTTCTAAAGGATATTGCAAAGTTTTTTGTCAGTTGCATGGTTGGTTAGGGCATTAGTATCAGATATCAGTTTTTTGTTGTGGGCAGTTATAATATTTTTGATGTTATGAAAACAGCTGTAGCATTGTTTTAAATTGTTTTAGTTGAAGATTTTATAAAGTTTATGTGATATAATATATTAGCAGAGGCGATTCTACAAATAAAATGAGGGGGATGGGTGAATCTTTAAAAAGTACTGACTTTTATTTCCTTAAAAACAAACAAACAAACCAAAATTCTGTTTCATGAAACGTGATATACCTTTAGTACTAAAATTAATTAATTTAAGTCATCCAAAAGCATCCAAAAGATATTTTTTCTCTCATTGTTGCATGATAAAAAAAGTATCATTATAAAATGTTATTTTAATCATGAATTTATTTGGATAATCGGAATTAATTTAGTGTGAAAATGGAGCTAACATGCTCAAATTGTTGTTGGTCAAATTTTATACTTTATAAAATATATATTTGATGAAAGTAACAAAAGAACTTTTGCAATTTTCATGTAATGTAAGTTAACAAAAACATGATAAAGGTTTGTTTTTTCTAAAATTTAGGTCAAAAACTCAAGTTTTTTAATAATATATGTGAAAGAATTTTAAACGTTTTTACATTTAAAGTTTTGAATAAAGATGCTTAGTTAAAACACATTTTTATTTCAAATTTGTGTAACCTAAGTTAAAACTACATGTATTTACTAAAATTCTGGCACTTTTTTGTCAAGTTCTTGTTTACAAAATGAATTACGTCATAACATAATATTTATTTCGTCATGTTGGGTTGACAAGGTTCAAAGTAAAACTTTTTATATTAAGAGAATTTTAAAAAAAAAAACTTTTATTTTTTTTAATGTTAATTAAAGTTATTTATATTATTGTTTTTTTTATTTGTTTAAGTATTCTTATTTTGGTTGACATATTAATTTACATAACTAAATAAAAATAAGAATTATATAAATATTTTTATTTAGACATTGAAAAAATAAAGATTTGTTTGGTATTCTCCTAGTATTTTGTAAATGCAATTAAGGGGGGTCATCCATAAAGCATGTCACCCTATATTTGTCAATTCTTAACCCCCTCCCTCCTGTCACAAACAATTACATATACCTGAACCTCCCTCCTTAACTGTGATAGCAGTTTTTACGTCTAAAATGATTTAAAAGATTTAACTGTAAATACTTTGAAGCATTTTAAAAATTCAACCTAATGAAAATAAGGCAATATGCATAAACGTAAAAAGTGTAAGACAAACCCAAGATTTTCTTATTTAAATAACTCAAAAAGTATTAAAAAAGTTGTACTACTAAAACAATTTTTTCATGTTGTTGAAATGTTTTCGATTTAATAACTTTGCTAAATGTTATGATAAATCATTCAGGAAAAGTACCACCACTTTGAGTTCAATACTTTTACAATTCTTTTATTACGTAACTCTAACGCCTAATAATAGATATAAAAACCACAATAATAATTGCTTAATAATGTAAGTTAAATATATAGTATCAAAAAAACCAGTTTATTTTCCAGTTTATAGCTGGTCACCTCTGATAAATTTTTATATATTTTTTAAAATAATATAGAATTCTCAACTTTTTGTGAAAGTTTCTAATACAAACCACATTACTGACTCACATAAATTTGACCTAAAAGTTGAAGCAATTGTTTTCTGTGTAACGTAATTTAAGTGTCATTTTCAGAAATAAGTTCCTCTTTTGGCCAGGCTCAAAACTTTTTAGTTTATTTTATTCTTTAGACTAACAACTTTTCATACAAAATAGCTAAAAGTTTAATTTACAGTTTAAATAGGCAAATATTTGATAAAGTTGTTGTATGTGTAACGTAAGTTAAAAATGGCATTGGCCATAAATATCTATAGTAAAGGATTCGCTTCCTTCATCTTGCTTTCCTGATTCATATAATTTGCAATCTTTTAAGTCGTCTGTCAATCGTTATCTTGCTCTACAATCTTCATCTTTTCTCTTCCAGTAACTTCCAACACTAATTAGTGGTTGCTTGCAGCCTTGTTGGAAGCGAAGATGTTTAAATATATATATATATATATATATATATATATATATATATATATATATATATATATATATATATATGTGTGTGTATATATTTATATGTATGTTTATTTATATGTATGTTTATATATATGTATATAAATGTATATATATATATGCATGTATAATATATATATATATATATATATATATATATATATATATATATATATATATATATATATATATATATATATATATATATATATATATATATATATATATATATATATATATATATATATATATATATATATATATATATATATATATATATATATATATATATATATATATATATATATATATATATATATATATATAGATTTTTTTGTCATTTTAAGAACATTTCAAAAACAAACAAAAAAGCTCAGTAAAATTAACTTAACCAATGACAGTTAAAAGCTTTTAATGCAAAATAACTTCAAGCAAAATAAATGCGATTAGAGCAAATATTTTTCAAACGTCGCTCTTTTATAATTTTTTTTATAAAGTTAAATGACATTTTTCATATCAAGTAATAACTTATTATTAATGATTGTTTAATAAGGAAACAATTGTTCTTCGATTTATCAAAGAGTATATATAATTTTTATTTAAATACTTATGTCTTATTTCCAGTGCTGGATTAAGATGGAAGGGGGGAGGGGCTAGAAGAGCTATAGCCTCAAGACTCACAATGTTAAGGGCTGCAAAATAGTCAAGTGGGCCATTCAGTATTTTTTTAGTCATTTTTACGCAGTGGCACATAAAAAAGGTCACCAAAATAATTCAGCCCCCGGCCCTGAAAAGTCCAACAAGATTTATACAATAAAACTAACGCTAGATGATTTATTTATAAATAGAAAAGATTTTTTAATAACTGTTTTATCCTTCGCGTAGTTTAAAAAGTTTAACACATTTGAAACAATTCTTCTTAGAAAGATGAACAAATGAAATAATTAAATCATTAAGTTACTGTAGAAAATCAATTAGCTAGATAGAAATTAACTAAAAACGTTAAATTACTTTATAAGGACGATGTGAAACTGCTTCACAATACCGCTTATGGTGTTTAGTGAGTGGGCTTTATAATTTTAATTAGTATTTAAAACAGAAAAAAGTAACTTTAAGTTTAAGTATAACGAGTTTGTAAGAATGGCTGAAACAAAAATAATTGAACTTAGTAAACCAATTTCTAAGAACTTAAAAACTTTTCTTTCTTGGGTGAAAGAATCAGTTATCGGGTACACTGAGGAAAATGGATTAGTGGTTAAAACTATTTGTATTAACTTTGATAATTATTAATAATTTCATTGGAAACGCAGTTGTTATTGAAAGTATTTTTGTTGACAAAATCAATCGCACAAATTGCTTTAAAAGATTACATTTAAATAAAACACATAAATAAAGTTGCATACATAAAATTACAAACATAAAATTATATACATAAAAATACATACATAAAAATACTTTACATACATAAAAAATACATCACTTATTTATAAAAAATAAGAATAATAAAATATATAACAATATATTTACAAAACGTTGACAAGTTAAGAAATGTAAATTTAAAACATTTATTTTTGTAAACAAATAATGTTAGTTTAAAACATTTATAGCTTTGTAGATGTGGCTTCGAGAATGAGCCAACTTTAACTTTAACACAGCTTTAATATTTACATTGTTAAAAGTTAATTTGTGTCATTAACATATTTTAAAGTACCATGATAAAATTAAATTTTTTTCTAAATTGCGTTGAGAAATTTTATAACTAATATTACAAAAATTACTGAAAAAAAAGTTTGAAAAAGATTATATTTATATATAATAATTTATTTCTAAAACAATTTTTTTTCTTAACATGATCTTTTGTTTTCTTTATCACAACTTTTTTTTTTTTTTACATATTTAATTTAATATTTTTAATTGATTATAAACAGTTTATGAAGAGATTTTAGTTACAAATAAGATATTTGTAAACAAAGTTTATGTTAAATAGAATTCTTTTAAATAAAAAATACTTCTCCTTTTTTTTAAAAAAAAAAAAAAAGAAGTATTTTTTATTCAAAAGAATTCTATTTAACATAAACTTTGTTTACAAATATTTAATTATTTAATATTTAAATATTTAACAAAAATACTTAACATAAATTTGACAGAAAAATATTATACTAGTTTTGCGGTAATTTATAAAATTACCGCAAAACTAGTATATGAAAAATGTGAACCAAGAAAACTGTGAACTAAATAAAGATAAAAAAAAAAGACTCCCAGTTTTATTAATTAATTTTGTTTATTTCAACTTCCTGTCTCCTACTGTGCATTAGTTAACTTTTATTTTCTAATCTTTTTATATATTAAAATTTATTTTTTTTAAATAATGTTTAATAAATGATAATTTCATGTAACTGCAAGGAAACAAAATTACAAAAGAACTTGTTTTATTATTTATTAGAAATTGTATCTGAAAAACATGATGGATTCCTATATGAATTGGCGTATGTTTGTAAATGAAGACAATCTTGTTGGAAATGACAGAATCTACAACAAGGTTTTTTTTATTGTAATTTGTATTATGTATATCAGTTTGGTATTTATATATTTAGTTCAAGCCTTTTCAGGAAAGGAGTGCAGTCGCACACCTTATAGGACCAAGCATACAATTTTTTTTTTTTTTTTTTTTTTTTTTGACAACTTGGCTATGGTTTTTTTGCATTTATTGATAATTTGCATGTTTCAAAAAAATGTTAAAAAAACAAAACTAATTTAAAGAGAAAATTGAAAATAAACAAAATACAAACTGAGAAGAGAAACTAACTTAATGAATAATAAAATAAATAAAGAATAAAACCAGAGAAAATAAAAGTATAAAACTTATATAATATATTTTTTAATTTAAAAGCCAATTAATAGTTTATTGTAGCACATAGGTTGATAGTTGTGTCATTTATGAGGCGCAACTGATATATTGGCATTGGAAGTTCTACTACTACTAACGGAAATTTTTTGTTTTATTTGTTTTGAAAACATTAGAAAATATCAAAGTTTCAAATTTTTAAATAATTAAATTTCAAAGTAATTAAGCTAGGATTAAATGACTCAGAAACTTTGATTTTTTCTTAATTCTTTGTAGTGAAACATTTTTTAATTAAAATAAATACATTTTAATTTTATGCTATATTTTTTCAGGTTTATTTTTTATTCTTTTTATCATTTGTTAAGGTTTCAAGTTTTTAATTTAGTCATGTATTCTTTTTTTTTTTTTTAGTTTTTGTTTTCCTTTCCAGTTTACATTTTTAGTTTATATTTGTGAGAGAAAAAACTGACAAGTATTATTTTATTATTTCTCTATATTAATTTTTTGATTTTAACCATTAAAATCAGAAACCACCTGTTGGAAAAAGACAATCAGTATTAACATTTCAGATAAACATTACTAGATCAGGCTTATTTTGTCAGACTTGTCTTTGTAAAACAATATCTTTTCAAAATTTGAATTGTCAGATGTGATTGATTTCAAGTTTACATTTAGTAAAAAATGATCAATTCAATTTTTAAATTGAGATTTATAGTTGGTTTTTTGTCAAGTATAAAAAGAGTGATTATAATAGATATATTAACTAATTTATCGATAGATGCACTAGTGTTTATATCCACAGAGGTTTTTGTTTCAGGCTGTTAATTTAAAGAGTCTTTTTAGATTTTTTGTCTTTGAAACTTTTTCAGATATTTTTAACTTTAATAATCTGGACATCAAGTATTTTGCAAGTCCATATTTTATGTCTTTAAAAAATTATTTTAAAAGTGAAATAAATATGAAAGAAAATTACATAATTTTTTCCTTGTTGTTATTGATTATCTGAGGTTTTGATTAAAATTATTTATATTAGGGAAAGTTTATGTACCTAGGATTGGATTTCTTCAATGCCCAAATTCAAGGCATCAGACTTTTTTAAATACAGTGGTGTAACTAGAGGGAGCACAACCCTGCAAGGGGGGGGCAGAGCTTAAAGGGCCCCACAGAGATTTACAAATTTTACTCATGAATAATATGACTGGTAATAAAAATATGAGTGTTACTAATTTCTGTTTTATCAAATACATTTTATGAATTTATAATTTTTCACGTATCCCTTTGGGCATTTTTTAAAAAAAGTTACATTCTAATTTATAATGTTTAGAATTTCTAAACGTTGAAAAAACTTTTAGTTGACGTCTAAAAATTTGTAAACTGTTAAAAACGTTAAAAAAAAAGTTAGGTGATTTTGAAGTTGAATATTAAGTATATATTATTAAATATTATTATATTTAGAAGTAAGTGCTTTTCTTTTTAGATGCATTCATGCATAGCAGTAAAAATCATATAATTATAATTTTCATAACAATAAGTTGAGTTATCAAAATGTTTAGCTATTATGTAATAAACTAGTTATATTTATAGTATTGGTGATATATTTAACTGCTTGTTAAATCTTGCAATTTTATTCTGGCGATTTAAATTTTCATATTAATTAATTACTGAGATCTTGAATTTTTCAATTAAAAAATGTATATAAACGCGATACAAGTAGAATGATGTTTTTGTATTTAGTATGCACTAGGTTTTGTAACAAAACCTAGTGCGTACAAAACTTTTGTTATAGTACAAGGATAGTATGAGTTAACAAAGAAACACAAATTATGTGTACATATTTGATATAAAATTAAAAGGGTGGACTCAAAATACGAACTGAAGAATAAATATGAATTAAGTTTATTATTTATTTAAAAATATTTAGCTATATATATATATACATATATATATATATATATATATATATATATATATATATATATATATATATATATATATATATATATATATATATATATATATATATATATATGTATATATATATATATATATTTATATCTATAGGGTTAATACATAGATATAATTGTTCTAATAAAATATTTTTCTTACAATAGTATGGACTCTAAAAGAACTTATATGAGTGGGACCAGAAAAAGGAAATTAAAAAAGGAGGCTAATGATAGATTAAGTAAAAACAATAAAAAGATATTCTTATTTTTTTCATCAGTAGAACAGAAGCCTAGTGAAGTAGTTGCAGATAAAAATGTCAATGTTGTTACTAGTAATTCTCAAGCAACCCAACAAGAAGAAATGCTATCTGTTTCAATTGACTTAGAACAAATTGAAATTTCAAAAGATCATAATGAATCTCATTATAAAAATAATGCAGATATTTTCGCAAATCCAAATAATCTTACCACTGCAATGCAAGTTAAAGAAACAGATCCAGGACCAAATATCAGGAATTAAATATGTTAACAACAGATATGGGATATTTTAAAGAAAAATTTCTTGATGATAGCACAAAAAGATTTTTTATTTCCTCTGAAAGATGTAAACCACAAGGACCATTTAAAAAAGATCCTTTACAAAATTGTAGACATTTTTCCACAAATTATTATTATTGTGCATATAAATTTAGTCAAACACAGCAATTTTGGCTATGTTATTCTGAAATTCTGGACTCAGTATATTGTGAACCATGCTGGTTATTTTCAAATGACATAAAGAACCAATGGCGTTCGGGAGTTTGAGACTGGAAAGGGCTAAGTAAAAAAATAAAAAGTCATGCTAATAGCCCAAAACATATTGAAGCATGTCAAGTATACGATTATTGGAAACAAAACAGACACTTAATGAGGATACAGAGACATTAATTCGTCATAAAGCTTCATTTTGGAAGATGGTATTAGAAAGGTTATTTAATATCACTTTAATGTTAACAAAAAACTCACTTGCATTTAGAGGTCATAGTAAAGTGTTGGGTGATGAGATTTACAATGGCAATTATTTGTCTCATGTTATCAAAAAATTCATAAAATGTATTTGATAAAGTACGACGATACAATGAAACAAGTACTCAATAAGCCTAAAGGCACTTTAAAATATCTTAGTCCAGCTATCCAAAATAAATTGATTCAATGTTTAAGCCAAAATTTAGAAAAAACATTATTATTAGAAATAAATGTATCTGCTTTTTTTTCAATTATAATTGACACAACTCATGACATATCTAGAAAAGAGCAGTTAAGTTTAATTTTTCGATACATTCACATAATTTGCAAACAGGATACTCAACCTTATCAAATAGAAATTGGGTTTCAATAAATAGAGATTAAAGAAACATTTTGGGGTTTTTATGAAATAAAGGATCATTTGGCATTAGGTTTAACCAATCAATTATTATTATTGCTTAAAAATAAAGGAATAGATTTAAAAAAGTGCCATGGTCAAGGATATGGTGGAGTTAATGTGATGAGCGGCATTTATAACGGAGTTCAGAAAAAAATAAATAGTATTCAGCCATCTGCACAATATGTTTATTGTGCGAGTCACAATTTAAATCTGGTTATAAATGACGCAGTTTTTGGTTGTAGAGAAGTAAGCAAGTTTTTTATAATTTTAAAAGAAATTTACTCCTTTTTTGGCAACAACAAGATGGGATTTGTTATCAAATTTTAGCGGGGAGTCGGAAGTAACATTGAAAAAATTAAACCCAACTAGATGGTCTTCAAAAATTAATTCTTTATTAGCTATAAAGTTACGCTTTTTAGATATAGTTAAAACTTTAACCAAACTAACTGAAGCTCTAAAATTAAGGGACAAAATATCTAACTTTGAATTTGTTTTTATTTGCGTCATTATGTATCACATATTAAAAAATGTAAATTATGCTTCAAAAAACTTTACAATTTATTTAAATTAGAGGCAGTTACTATTTGCAGTAAGTGGAAAATAAAACCAACATTTATAGTTAAAAGGCAATCCAAATATGCGAGACATTTTGATGAATTAAGTGGAAGTGATTTAATCAAATGCGCTGAAAAAGGTTTTCAAATTAATGTTTTTTTATAGGACCATAGATATTGTCAATGTGCAAATAAGTAATAGATTTACTGGAATGGAAAAACTTTCAAATCATTTTAATTTTTTGCACCCTCAAAATTTATTAAAATTGTCTGAAGATGATTTAATTAAATCAGCTATATTATTGCAACATAGTAACCCAGACGATTTGACAAAACATTTTCCAACCCAATTAATGCAATGATTTTTATTAAAAATGACATCACAGAAGCAACTACATTAAGCTGACATACTGCTCATCAAATACAGTTTTATGAAGTGCAATTTTTCAGATATAAACAAAGCCATATTGCTATTGATGACAATACCTGTGACAGTTGCAAGTGCTGAAAGATCTTTCAGCAAATTAAAGATTATCAAATCATATTTAAGAAATAGCATGTCTCAGAAGCGTTTCAAACATTGTGCATTTTTGGCAGTAGAGAGCGAAAAAGCACAAACATAAGAATTAGATAAAGTAATTGAATAATTTGCGAATAAGAAGAAAAGTTTATATTTAAAGTAGTTCAACAAATACAAAGTTTCTTAGAATATTCTTCAATTTTTTTTTTTCAATTTTTTTCAAGGCCACTAGCTGTACTTAGGGTTGCTCTCAGAAAATTAGGTTAAATTCCATAATAAATTAATAACAAAGATAACACATAAATTTGATTAAAAATTTATTTAATCTTAGATTGTTTTCTAGATTGTTTTCTATAAATTTATCTAGTGTTACTTAATTGCAACACTTAAATAAATAACAAAATTGACTAATAGTTCTGAGCAAAATTGACATATAAGTCTACGTGTAAAATTTATTTATAAATCTACGTGTAAAATTTACATAAGTCTATGTGTAAAATGGTAGTTCCTAAATAACAATGAGAAAGAAGTACTGCACCAATCAAAATTCAAAATCTACCTCATTATCTAGCAAATTCTTTATGCACATACTTTTGTTTCATTTTAATTCATCTCCCCAAGGCCATGAAGGCTACTACAAGTGAGGAGGCTACTTTATTTGTGGTTGCAACCCTCTCTTAATTCTATAATCTGAAACACGAATTTTAACAAACAAGACGGCTGCACAAAAACACATACGGCCCTAGGTACAAGCAAACTATATGGCCCTATGTACAAAAAATGATAGCCTCATGAAAAATACTATCTATTAACAAACCTTGATTGAGAAGAAACTTATTAAACAACTGATTTAGTACTTAAGTAACAAAAATTATGAACTGAGTTGGTCAACAAAAAATAAAAATATTGAGTTTTTATCCTAAATAAGAATATTGGGAAAAATATTGGGTTTTATCTTTTTTAAGAGACTGATATAACTTAAAACTAAATTATCAAGTTAAACTAATTTGAAAAGCTATATTTTAAATAAATCACATTAGTTTTATTGCCCTGCCCCGTTTTGTTTCTCAATGAAAAGAAAAGTCTAAATATTTTCTTCTGTTTACTGCATTTAAATTCTTAATGCTAACTAACTTGAGTCAAGGCAAACTTAATTCAACACTTCAGTCATTGGATGTAGTGAACAGCTAGTTAAATACAGGAAAATATTTTATTCACAAATCTAAACAGAAAGTGGTGTTTCCAATGCTTTTTAAAATAAAGCAATCATTTAATTTCCATAGAACAGAAAGTAAATTTAAAATAAAATAGAATATTGTTAATACTTATATTATAATGTAATAATAATAATAATAATAATAATAATAATAATAATAATAATAATAATAATAATAATAATAATAATAAAAACAATGGTAATAATAATTGATATAATTAAAAATGCTATAGCATATTTTTAATTTATTTATAAAATAACAACTTTCTTTACAATAAAACACTTTTTACAAAAAGTCATAAAATCAAAAGTTTTTATGTGTTAAAATAATAGTATAAATTTTATAATAAAATGAAGCTTATTTGTTAATTAAGTCAAAAAGTTTGTTTATTATTTACATTACAAATAAGAGTCGAGGTATTCTTGAGAAGTCCAATCAACAAAAATATCAATAAAGATTTTTCCCCTCTAACCTAAATATATATAAAGAATTTTATACTTTAGTTTTTGGATATTTATGTTCTGCATCCTCGAACTCATATTAGAGATGGAAAAGCACTCTACACTGACTATGAAGTTCATGTAAAGGTTATTTATAAATATTTTTTTTACATAAAAAGTTTCGAGTTTCTTTTTTTTCTTTAATATTTAAACTAAATTTTAATGTTCTGCTTATTGTCAATATTGTTCTACTATAAATTTGAAGGTTCAATTGACAACATTGTTAATCTACTATAAATTTGAAGAATTTATTGACAATATTGTTCTACTATGAATTTGAAGGTTTAATTGACAACATTGTTAATCTACTATAAATTTGAAAGTTTAATTAATTACTATATAAAACACACATATAGAGGGTGTAAAAAAGGGTTATAAATTTTTTTTCTAGCTCTATTCTAACACAAATGTTATATTGATGTCAAATGATACTCTGAAGAAAATTATTTAAATATTTTGGAATGTTATTTAAAGTACTTAAAATCACTAAATGACAATCATAAATACATAAAATTAACAAGTTCAAAAAGCTGCACAGAAATTTTTTTTTTCTATATAATTAGCATTTATCACTTATTTTCCTTTTTAATACATTCTGCAAAATATTTTTATAGTTTTTAATACATTCTGCAAAATATTTTCATATTTTTTACCCCAATATCACAATAGTATGGATAGAAAAGGGGAGAAAAAAAATAATGAAAAAGTTTTTCTGTTGAAATTTTTTGATGTCCATGGTTTCACACTTGTGTGGTTTTGATGGACATCCGTAATTCCATTTTTTAAGTTAATATGACATTATGTAAGGGTTAAAGTAGTTTTCTTTAATTGGATACCCATTCTGACATTAAACTGTATGGATCGCCTCGCCTGCCCTAACAGTTAGTTTCTAGGACTTATTTCGATAATAATTTTGTTTAAACAAAAAAAAAAAAAAAAAAGTTTAATCTAACAAGTGAAAATAATGTAAACAAAATAATAATAAAATTTACACAAAATTAAAAAATGCCTATACCTTAACTCTCAAATAACTTCAAGGCGAACAAAACAAAAGGAAAAAAATTTAAACAAAATTATAAAGAAATTAACACAAAATTAAAAAACATCTATAATCTAACCCTTAAATAACTTCCAGGCAAACAAAACTAAAGGGAAAAGATTTAATCTTATAGGAAGCTAAACAAAAATGATAAAAAAAAACAATAATAAAGATAATGAACATATTGCACCCCTTAATATACAGTATGCAAAAAAAATAATCGTACACTTGAAAAAATCGTAATTTTTAAGATTGCATCAAAAAAATTAGTTTTTTGTTAAAATATTTAAAAATTTTTTTTTAGATATCTTATCAAGTTTTGTTTTAAAAATTTATTTGTGTATTGGTGAGTTAATTGCTTTTCATACCTATTAAATTTTATACAATTGATCTAATGATACATATAATTGACTGCAAAAAAAAAAATCGTACAGTTCAAAAATAATGTCAAATTGATCAAACTTCATCAAATTTAGTATCGAGTGGGGCCTCCTTTGGCCTTGATGGTCTCAGCTTGACGATTTGGCATTGAGTTGACCAAATTTTGGGTTTCTTCTGTTGTTATATTATCCCATGCGCTCATTATAGCTTCTTTTGAGTCGTCTTTTTGTCTAAATGCTCGGTCACCAATTTTTCTGTCCAAAATATACCACCAATTTTCTTAAGGATTTAAGTCTGGACTTTAAGATGGCCATTCCATAACATTGATGTTATTTGTGTCAAAGTATACCTTTGTTTTCTTCGCAGTATGTTTTGGATCGTTATCCTGCTGCAGTATAAAATCCTTTCCTATTCTCAATTTTGTAGTAGATGGTCGCAAGTTGGCTTTAAGAATTTCACAATACATTGAAGCATCCATTTTTTTATCAATAGTTGTCAAGTTCCCTACCCCTTTCCGACTCATACTACCCCAAACCATCACATTTCCTCCTCCATGCTTTACACTACCTCGCAAACAACTTAATTTATAAGCTTCTTCTTTTTTTCGCCACACTTTTTGAACTCCATCCGATGAGACAAGGTTGTATTTGGACTCATCTGACCACAAAATTTTTTTCCAATAAGATATTGGCATTTTTTCGTACTTCTTTGCAAATTCTAATCGACGTTTCATTTGTTTTGAAGTTAAAGAAGGTTTTTTTCGAACTACTCTACCTCTATATCCTTGTTCTCTAATACGATTTCGAATTGTTTGAGGGGTTACTGTGATATTGTGATCTTCTTGAACTTTTAAAGCTAATTTAGCTGCCGAAACAAATCTATTTTTCTTCACATTAATGATGATATTGCGATCAATTGCACTAGTGGTCTTGTGTTTTCGTCCTCTGCCAGCCACACCAGCAACGGTTCCAATCAGATTATGCTTCTTAACAATTGAGGACACTGTTTTGACACACAAGGAATTCCTGTTTCTTTTTGAATCTGACAGTAGGATTTTCCTTGATTTTTTAAATCAACTACGAGGCATCGTTGATGGAAAGACAAATGTTGTTTTCTTGACGCCATTTCGCTGAAACACTATATATTTATTTCTAGAACAAAAGTGTATTTAAAAAATTACAATTTTTAATTTACTAACTAGTTTAATCATTCAATTCGCTCAATTTATGCTAAAATAATGACATATTTTGTCAGCGTACGATTATTTTTTTTGCAGTCAATTATATGCATCATTAGATCAATTGTGTAAAATTCAATAGGTATGAAAAACAATTAACTCGCCAATACACAAATAAATTCTTAAAACAAAACTTGATAAGATATCTAAAAAAATTTTCAAATATTTTAATGAAAAACTAATTTTTTTGATGCAATCTTTAAAATTACGATTTTTTTTAAGTGTGCGATTATTATTTTTGCATACTGTATATAATCCCTGCCACATCCTCCCAAAGTTCAAATCAAATTTTTTACACCCTCTATATGTGTGTTCTTTATAGTAAAAAACACTAAATTAACAATATTAGCTTTTAAGAAACATTTTTAGGGATGCCATATGGCCCAGGAAGATTTAATCGGTTTCTTATATCATCAGTCCACCTAAAAACTTTCAATATTTAAATATTAAATTAAACTTTAATATACAATCACCTAAAATCGTTTTCCAACCAAAGTTTATTCTAAAAACTTTTAATGCCTCGCCAGACAGTATTAAAGCAAGAAATTAATCCAATATAGAAGAACTAAACAGTTGAAACAAAATGACAAAAAAAAAATTAATTAAAATATTATAGAAATTATAGAAATAAAGATGAATATTTATAAATACTTGTTTCATAATCATAGGTTAAAATTTATAATGATGTAATGAATAATTTGTTAAAAATCTTTGCAATTGTGAGTTGTGTGAATATTTTGCTCTACTGCTTACAACTTTTTTCACTTGATACTTTTAATAGTTTTGAAGTTAATTTAATTTCAGACAAATCATCCAGAGTTTGCAATCAAAGAGTCAAATGTTAGACGGAGATATTCAGATTTTGTATGGTTGAAAACAAAACTTGGAGTGAATGACATTATGATGTCGTAAGTTTTATTCATTAATGTCATAAGGTTGATAAGTATATTTTTGCCCAATTTATTACTTTCATAATTAGATAGTACCTGTCCACACCTCAACCTGTCAGTCTATGTATATACACCTATATCAATTTCAATATTGCTTTATTAGTAACATATTTAGACCTATAACCTCAAAAGTGGGTTTTGAAGTTTAAGTTAATTGCTTTTATATATATATATATATATATATATATATATATATATATATATATATATATATATATATATATATATATTTGTGTTTGTGTATATATATACTAATATACATCCTAATTGTTTTATTTTTTGAAAAAATCTTAAAGCTCATTGTATTATTTTGTTTACAAATATTCAGTGATTTTATTATCTATGAGTTTCAAGGTTTAGCTTAATACTATGGGGTAGAAGTTATATAAAAGCTAAAATGTTTCTTTATGGCAATTTATTTAAACAACTATAAAGAAGTAATTTGCTATTAGTAAAAACTAATGTGAAAACTTCAGTTTTAACATTTTTACTGTTTACAGAAAGATAAAGTATGAGTTTAGCCATTTATTGAATATTTTAATGCTGTAAACAAGGAGACTTTTTACTTTCGAATAAAAGAGACATTTCTGGAATGTAAATACTCAACACATTTACACATTAAACTGTTTTTATGTTGCTGCCTCGATGCGTTTTATGTACTTTAATGGTAGTTTTATTTTGTTTGATACTTAGGTTGAAAAAAATTTTTTTTTTAAATAATAAGTTATGTAAGAAAAGATTAAATTCTACTTTTTAAAAATATATAACAGTAATAGTCTAAATTATGCTGAAAATACAAAAAATTAAAGTTTAAAAACATAAATTTTTGTTTTTATGAAATACAAATTTTTCAGATCTCTCCTTAACTATGCTGAGCTTCAGAATTAGGAAAAATGAGGTCAAAAAAATTTTTTCACAAACAGGTTACCATAAAACATAAAAACCAGGTCAGCAATTTTTTGCCAACCTCGAACACTGTCGGGGTTGGCATTGCTGAATGCTAACCCTAATTCCGAGGGTTATATATATATATATATATATATATATATATATATATATATATATATATATATATATATACATATATATATATATATATATATATATATATACATATATATATATATATATATATATATATATATATATATATATATATATATATATATATATATATATATATATATATATATATATATATATATATATATATATATATATATATATATATATATATATATATATATATATATATATAAAGGCTTGACCAGGAAGGCGCTTTTAAATAAAGTGGCTAATGATTTTAATTAAAGTATCAATTTTTTATTTATATTATTTAATTATATAAGATTTTTTTTTTAAATAAAAAAAGTGATTAAAAAAAAAAATTAAATTTTATAAGCGACGACTTTAAACAGCGAAGGTCCTTTTAATAAATTTTATATAAGAATCATTAAAGTTGTTGTTGAGGGGAAAAAAAGGGCAAACTTTTTTAAAAGCTGTTTGAGTTAGATAATTTTAATCTTTACTTGCATTTTTATATTAAAAAAGGTGTTTAAATAAAGTTACAAATCACTGCTAATAATTTTTTATAAAAACATTTATGAGTAATATATATTTTGTTATATTTATATAAGTATTTATCTTTTATTATAAATGTTTTTAAAATAATAAAAAATTATATCAATTTTTTAAATAAATGATTTAATTATTTTTTCTTTTGAGCGAAGAATTGTTAAGAATCTCTTTTTTAAACTTTTAAATGTGCGTGTTTATTAAAATCCTCAACTGCCTCAACTATTAAGATCCTCAACTGCCAAGACAAGTTGAGTTCATATTAAAGAAAATGTTAAAAAAAAACATTTGGGTTAAATTTTTTTAATTAAAGTTATATAATGAATGCACACCATTAAATTTAAAATTAACGTTTTAGTCGAAACTTGCCGTCTCCATTTTTTTTTGGTTCTCGGAGTCTGAATAATGTTAGCCGCAATCTGCAGACTTGATAATTTATTCCATAAGTGTTTAATTCATAACAGTTTTGGTAAATGATGTCATCGTATAAATTTTTCTCTTTCAAGTTGTCGTATTATTTTTTTGCCAAAATCACCAAATCATGTTAATTGTATATTTTTTTACAATATCCCAAAAAACTTTTTTGATGCAATTAAAAATTAAATTTATAAAATTTATAAAAATAAAAATTTAATATATAACAAATATTTACAGTAAATGTAGTGGTTTAAATTAAATATAAACTAGATACTAAAAGAATAATTTTACAAAAGCGTATAAATTAATTTAAAGTATAAACTGAAAAAAAAAACAAGTGACTTGAATAAAACATATAAACTGAACCAAGTAGAAAATAAATATTAAATGACTTATTTTACTAATAACCGTTCAAATCAAACTAAATTAAAGTTATAACAAATATTTGTACTAAAATATACAAGAAATAGTTATAATATAAATATAAAAACAAAGAATCGCATTAAATTGTTTGCTACCAGCCGAACAAAAATCTTTTTGTAGCAACCGCACATTTATTTGAATAACGTTTGAATAGCATAACATTGACAATTAATTAAAATTCGATAATAATAAAGTTTTTAACACACATCATTAAACAATAAGAAAGGCAAAGTGCTTAAAACTATTGTTTTTGTAAGTATTAACTAAAACATTGAGTCTTAAACAAACCTCATTTAATGAATAAAAATAACATTTTTTTTTCAAAATACTTTGGTAATTACTTAACTAAATTCTTAACACTTCTACAAGTAAAGTTTTACAGTGTTAACACTGTTTTTTTTTTTATAATTTAATTTAAAGTTTTTATGAAGGATTAATCAAGATTTTTTAACTTAGTGATAACTTTTTTATAATTACACAATATAGCTCTTATTTTTTCTTGATTATGTAGAGAATTAGTTAAACCTTCAGAACAAACAAATTCTGTGTTTAGAATGGAAATTTATGTACAAAACAAGATAAGTTGTAATGCATACTTGAAAGCCACTACCAGTGGCTTGCGGTAGTGAAAGAGTTAAACCATAACTAAATGTAAATTAAACATAAAACGAACAACTATATTGAACCATATGAACTAAATATAAAACAAAAAACGCATTATACTGCCTTTATTTTTTCTCTGCCTGCGATCTCTCATAATTACAAAATATGTATAATTGTAAGTAAAAAGTTATACAAATATTTGATTTTCTGATTCTAGTAGAAAAAAGTCGGCAGATTGCAGCTAACATTACACAGACCCTGAGAACCAAAAAAAAATGGAGAAGGCAAGCTTCGACAAAAACGATAATTTTAATTTTGTTGGTATGCATTCATTATTTAGTTTCAATCAAAAAAATTTAGCCCAAATGTTTTTTTAAAGCATTTTCTTTAATATGAACACCACTTGTCTTGGCAGTTAGGGATCCCTTTAAGCAATCATTTAAAAAGGGTTTCGCATAATAATATATTATAAAAACATTAGTAAAGATAAACAATTAAATGTTATTTATTCCTAATGTAATTTAGATAATCATATCATTACAGTTTGTTATTTATTTTAATTAGGTTTTAACTTTATATTTGTTATTTTAGTTTTAGTTTAAGTTATTTTTATTTTGTTTTTCATTATTTTTTTACAAAGATTTATTTGCTTCTTTTATGATAAGTTTTTTTTTAAGTTTCTTTATAGTTAAATTAGCATAATTTTTAAGCGCATTTTTAAAACTTATACAAATTTTCATAACATATTAACAGCCAGGACCAAGTTAAGTAAAAACAAATAGTGTTTGCATGGTCATATTATGACGTGAAATCACATGCCCTCCTGGCCAGGCCTATATATATACATACATATATATATATATTCATATATATATATATATATATATATATATATATATATATATATATATATATATATTTTATAGTATACAAACTAAAATTAAAATGTTAATCATTATCAAAAATTAAATTTTTTTTTTTAGCTTTGAGCTATTCTAAGTTTTTTACTGAGTTTTTTTGGCAAGAATAATAAGTGTTCATTTGTACATTTAGGACTGCTCCAAGTTTGCCTGGAAAAAGATATTTTGGGAGATTTAAAGATCAATTTTTAAAGCATCGTCAACTTGGTCTTCAATTGTTTTTAAACAAGTTAGTTTTTTTGCCATTATTTTTGTTTTAAAAGTTGTTAAAAATTTTTTTAACAATTAGAATTAGAATCGAATTGAGTTTAGATTAATTTACCGTTTTATTTTAATTATTTTTATTTTTTTAGTTTGCTATCTCTAGTTTCCACTTTTTTAAAATTTTATCTGTAAAACTTATTATTCAGTCAATTTGTATCCCTTTTCATTAGTCATTTTTACTAGAGATGTGCCAGAACCAGTTTGCACTGAGTCACCAATACCGCGTACCTGGAGGAAAAAATTGGATCAGAGTCTGGGTACCCGGCACTGGGTCCATTTAAAAAAAGTAAGAATAAAAGCTTGTGAAATCTCTAGTGCTAAATTGTTTTCACAAAATAACAGACAACACTGATTAATTTGCGCTAATTAAATTTGCCTAAATATATCAATTTTCATTCTAATAAACAACTATATTTACACTCTAGATCAAATTATGCCAAATAAAGTGTAAATTTAATTTAGTAAATATATCTATATAGATGTATAGATTTATATAGTAAATTTATTCTTATTTTTAAATAAATCTTTAAACGATTGTTTACAATAAACAAGAAATCTTACATGTTTATTGTAAACAGTTGTTTGCTAGCAAGACTATCAATCTACTTTTAAATTTTCTACTTGCAAAAAATGGTTTGATAATTATACAACACAAGAATTTACATGTATTGGTTATGGAAATTTACAAAGTTAAGTTAGGGCTTGCCCCTAAATTGATGGGAGATATTTTTCGTTTTTGTAATACTAGTCTGAAAGGTAATAAATTTGCATATAATATTATACAGACTTTGAAATACGGTCTAGAGTCCCTTTTGTATTTGGGATCATCAATTTGGAATTTGGTACCAATGAGTTGCAAATCAGCATTAACTCATTAACTCAAAAATTAAATTACAAAACTCTGTCCCTGCAAAATATGCATGACATATATCAAAGACATTGGATTTATAAAGTCACGTGTTTAATTTATGCAAATTTTAAATAAATGGTTATTTTAATTTTCAATTGTTGCTATTGATTTATGTATTTTCATAAATTTTTTTTATAATTTTTTTAATTAGCCTTATACAGGGCTACTTAATTTGTATGTAAAGGTGTCAACTATAAATAAATTGCAAATAATAAATAAATTGCAAATTACTAATGCGGTAGTGGTGTAGTGGTAGAGCGCTCGCTTCATAAACGAGTGGTTCCGAGTTCGATCCCCACCATGTCCCTGGTAGTACCGCGCTCAACTTGTTTCTCCGCGCAGCGGCCTTGTTCGTCAAGGTTCGTGTTTCGGAGTTATAGAATTGAGAGAGGGTTATAACCACAAATAAGTAGCCTCCTCGTCTGTAGTGGCCTTCTCGGCCTTGAGGAGGTGAATTAAAATAAAAAAAAAAAAAAAAAAAACTTTAAACTTTTGTAAATGTTTAGTTATTGTAAACGAAAACTGTATTTAAAAGCAAATTACATAATTCAATTAGATCAAAGTATCAAACTTATTTATTCAAAGTTCAATTACTGAAAATTCTCTTGTGAAAAAATTCTCAAAATTTAAAAATTATTTTTCCTTTCTTTTCTCATGTATTCTCTAATTAATTCATTTACAAATAGTTACAGCACTTTAGGTTAATGTTTATTGAAAATTTCTTTTAAGATACCTGATCCCAGGTACTGCAACAAAATGGTTGATTCTGGATACATGGAAAAACAGCCAAATTACTGTGTTTCCGGGTCCAAACTGGACTCAGTGCACCACTAATTTTTACATGCATAAAATTTCACTTTTTTCATATAATTTAAAATATTTATATAAATATTTACAAAAAGTTAAGTAATTCATTTTTTTTGTTTATTTGTTAACTTTCTCCATGCAGTATCCTTGTTTGTCAAGAATTGTGTTTTGGATCTATATGTTGCTATGTATATGTGGTATATATATATATATATATATATATATATATATATATATATATATATATATATATATATATATATATATATATATATATATATATATATATATATATAATATATATATATATATTTATATATATATATATATATATATATATATATATATATATATATATATATATATATATATATATATATATATATATATATATATATGGTTGATAGAGTGTTGTAATAGCTATAACAAAAAATGTTTAGCCTCCTTAGTTTTTGTGGTCTTTTTAGTTTTGTGGTGGGATGTGTGTGTTTGTGTGAATGTGTTTGTGAGGGGGGGGGGAGGGGGAGGGTGATTATAGCTTTAAAAATTTTGTTATTTTTCTGTTAGCTTTTTTTTGTTAACTGTTATTTTTTTAGCTTTCTTTTGTACATGTTATTATATTGTATTTACTTTATTTTTTGTGTACACGATCTTTATATTATTATATAAAATACAAATTTTTATAACAATCTTTTAAACAACAGATTGATGTAAAGATTTTATATGTAATTGTTATTGTTTTGAAATATTTTGATATTTGTAAAAGCAATGACTGTTTTTTTTAAGGGTTGTTGAGATCAATGCTTTTTTGACAGACTCAGCACTGCATTTATTTTTACAAACAGAATTATCAAGATCGCAAATGGATAAACTTCTCCAACAAGGGGTGCATTTAAGTAATATTAGAGACAAGATTATTATGCTACAAAAAAGTAAAATTCAAAAAGAAAAAACAGTAGACAGCGAACAATTGCGGTTTTATAATTTTAAAACATGTGACTTTAAACGATCAATAAGTGTTGATAATATCATTGTTGCAAAGAAAGTTCTTAATGTTCCTAAAGATGATGGCAGGGGATGGTCTCAATATATTGGTGATGGTAACTGTACCTGGGAGGTTACATCTAAGAAGGACAGTACAGACTATTATGCAGGTATTTTATCCCATATCATTGTTATGAATGTTTAAAAAAAAACGAATTTTGTGAAAGTGAAACTAGATTATGTCTAATATTTTATTTACCAAGTGTTTTTAATAAAATGTTTCACTTAATAGCTTTTTAAGTATTTTTAGCATAGTGCCTAAATAATTTATTATGTTTTTTTTTGGATCAGGTGCTTAATATTAACTGGCTCATTTTAATAAAGTGATTAATTTTAACTGGCTCAGTTTTTTTTAATCATGTTTAAAGAAATAAAACATAAAAAAATTTAGATAACTTTTTTAACATTTTAAAAATTTTGACAACTTTAAAAATTTTGATAACTTTCTTTACATCAAACAACTTTAAAAATTTTATAGCTCAGTTGCTTCATTTTTTGTGAAAACATCTTGAAAAATAATGTTTAACAAATTTGCTATCTTGTTTGTGGTTTGTACATTTTTATTTCTATTTATGCTTTACATAAATTTCTTTTTGTATCTGCTTCAGATATTCAGTTTTTGGATTATCTTTAAAATTTAATGCCTCGAATTGTAAGCAACTAACTTTTTGCATTTTCATTTATTGTAAGAGTTAGTATATATAAAATCACCTAGTTTTTCAAAAGTACCCTAAATTACCACCTCAGATTTGCTTCAAATTTTGATTGACTTTAGTCTGATTGACTCAAGTTATGATTGATTAAATATTGAGCAAAATCAGAAAAATTTGAATATCTGAAGCTTACAGTAGATTTTTATGATTTTTGACAGAACTTTTTTAAATAAAAAAAAATTTTTTACAGTAATAGTTTTTCACCCTAATAATATTTGCAGGTGTTTGTTATGGCTTAGATGTATATTTTTAATTTTCCCCTAAATGAATATTATCAGTTTTCCCTTAAAAGATATAATCAGTGTCTTAATTCATTATTTGATATGATTTTGGAATATAAATTTTGAGATATGTAAATCAGAGATAAAGAAATGTGTGGCCGTGGTGCAGTGGTTAGAGAGCTTGCTTTATAAGCAGGAGATCCAGGTTCGAAATGAGCTTTGGACATATTTCGCGTCAGGGTAAGGAAGGAGGCGTGAACTTCTTGGTTAAATGCACTTCCGCTGTGCTCTGTGTCAAGACCGTTAGGTCTTCTTGGAGCACCTAAAAAACAAATTGAAAAAAAAAAATTAGTGCACTTGTGTTTCATTTGTATATACACTTCAATTTAAGCATCGTTTTACTTTTTATTTTCACTTTTTTGCATTATAGTATTTTTTAGGTCTCCTTTTAGAATAAAACCTCCACAATAAAAAGTTTCATAATTTTTTCAACTGTTTATTCTATGCCTATTAAGAGAATGTAATTTATCATATTTTTAATATGATATTTTTAAAAGCTGCTGCAAAAGTTAAATCAACATTTAATGAATAATTTTGATTTTGCGGCAGATGAGTACTCTAAGTAAACAAAAATAAATTGGCACTGTCTGTCTGTAGGTATCGAGCTGTTGTACATTAAAGTTTCCATAATTCTTTCATAATTGCATAATTAAGCAACTTTGAGTTACAATAGCTTAATAATTAATTAAAAATCAGTCAAAAACAACTGCAAAATTAGATTATTTGGAGAAAAAACTATTACTGTAAAAAATTTCAGGTGATAAATTTTTTTATTTAAAAACTCATGTTCTGTCAAAAATAAAAAAAATCTAATGTAAACTCTAGATATTCAAATTTTTCTAATTTTGATCATATTCATACTTTGGTTAATATTCATACAAAAATTCATACTTTGCAATGACATAGCAAATGGTGAAAGTATTTTTTTTAAAGGAAAAGTTAAAATTTAATATGTGGAAAATTCGAAAACAAAAAACTTTATTAAGTTGTTAAAGAAAACAAAAAAAACAAAAAAAAAAGCAATTTTTAAGTTTTATTAAGTTTTGAATTGTTTGTATTGTCACATAATTTTAGTTTATTGTTTATACCAAGCCTTTCTGGGATGTGTGTGCGGTCACACGCCTTGTTTGTCCATGCCTAAAGTATTTTTTTTAAACAACTTGACCACGTTTTTATATAGTAAGCATTTTTAAAATTTGCAGCAAAATAAAGCTATAGGAAACTAAAGAGAATAAAACAACAATACTCAAAGAAAAGAACCAAAGACAATACGAAATAGAAAATCTAAATAAAGTAAGCTAAAAAATGGGATATTAAAAAAATAAAATTGTTGTTAAAAAAATTATATACCTAAATATTTTATTGTTTTTGTTTTCTTATTTTTAGGGCGTTTGTTATTTTCCACTACCAAAATTAAATCAAGTCGAGAAAATAAATAGATAAGAATATAATGAAAATAATATTTTTTGATATACAATTTTTTTGCTACTTTTTTCAGTCAGTATATTAAGAAAATACTTTATAATTTGGGCTAGAAACATGGGCAATTTTAAAATTTGTTTTTCAAATATTTTTGCTAAACTTTACTGTTTTTATCAATGCACAGGAAAGCGAGAAAACTAATTGCTATTTATTATTGAAAAAAAAAAATATTTTTTAAACAAGTTTTTCATGTAAAAAAAGTCATTAATACTAATATATAAATAAAAAATATGTGTTTTTAATACCCCTATTGAATTGGTTTGCACTTTTGTAGGATTATCCAAATTTTGTAGGATTATCCATTTAAACCCGATAGTTTATTTCCTGATGAACTATTGTTATTGAAAATTCTTCAAAAGCTTGTGGGCTAGTGCATTGTTACTTTACTGATCTTTTTTAACAAAATTTTCAGGAGCCTATTTAAAACTTTTTTTTTATGTTTTTAAATATATTTTTTTAAACAGAGCAATCATTATGTTCATTATCTCTAGTAACTTGTATTAACATTGGAAATCGGGCATTATAAAAAGAACAATTTCAGACATACATCAAATGTGGTATATACATTTATTAAAGAAACCATGTTATTCTTTTATTTGATTTATTCTGTCATTGCAAAAATTATTAATCAAATAATATATTCACAAATAAATAACAATTTATTTTCTTATTTTCCTATGATAGAAGTATCGAGAAAAAAATGTCAAATGCATAAACATATTTAAAAGCAAAAAGATGTACAAAAAGAATAAACGTCAAGAAAAAAATTAACAAAATTTCTCATAGTTCAAGCATTCATAGCAATTAGTTTCTTAATTGTATGGACTGATAAAAATCGTGAAATAATTGCATATCAAAACCTTCAATTGTTGTTATATTGTTATCAAAGATGAGATTTTTTATAACAATGACTTTTAAAAAAAAAAGATAAGATTTTTTATAACAATGACTCTTAAAAAAAAAAAATGTTATAAAAAAATTTTTTTCATTTACTTTTTTTAAATATTAAATTTTCTAGTTTATTTAATTAAACTTGATATTTCATTATAATTTTCTTTCCTTTTTTAGGATTGTTTTTTTTTTTTCTTAGCAAATTAGTTTAGTTTTTTGCCGTGAATCACTGAAACGCTTTATAAGTTAAAAGATGAGAACTGCTGTGGTCAGTTTGTCTGAAAAAATTAATTTAAATGTAGATGAACAAGGCATGTCACCACTGAACTGTGGATGAACAAGGCATGTCCCTAAAAGGCTTGTTATACTGTCATATATTTTTGTAAATTGCTTATATTGTCATATATTTCTGTGTATTTTTTATATTGTTGTGTATTTCTGTGTATTGTTTATACTGTCATATAATTTTCTGCATTGTTTATATTGACATGTACATTTGTGTATTGTTTATATGGTTGTTATTATTAATTTTTTTTGTTTGTGGTGTTCTTTATTATTTTTATTATTGTTGCTTTTTATTTTTGTTGCTATTATTCAAGTGATTTTATGTTTTTTATCTCATCATAATGTTTAAATATATCCTTTTGTTTTCTTTTTTCTTTTCTAACATCCTTCTGATCATTAAATGTTGTGTTATCTCATTTATTCATTATCTCTCATATCAGCTTATTTACTCTTTCTCTTTTTTTGTGTTGTATTTTAGTCTTGCTTTTTTAAATATTATTTTTCTCCTTTTAATTTATTTTTTATTATTTTTGTCACTATCTATAGTATTAGTTTGTTGTTTGCTTTTGACTTTATTGTTCACTCCAATGACTAGATTTAAACTATTTGATTGACACTAACCCTAATTTTATAAAATTATAAACAATTTGTGATTTTTTCGGTTTTATGGTTAAATAAATGGATAAATGGAGAATTTTTTTTTTTTTTTTTAATTATTCACCTCCCCAAGGCCCGAGGGGGCCACTAAGTCAAGGAGGCTACTCATTGTCTTTTTTTTTTTTTTTTTATTAAGTCTTCAAATCAAGAATATTAAATCAATCATAACTTTTAAAACATTTTGGCCAATCAAGTAGAAATTTTCAGAACTGTGTTTTTTTCATGAAAACTTTGGGTGATCAAAATTTGAAGCAAATCTGAGGTGGTACCATGGGAACCATTAGGTGATTTAAGATGAATTGGCTCATCAGTAATTTACTATTCAAACTTTCATTACTTATAGCTTTAGAGGAGAAAGGTTCTTCTTCTCTAGTCCTTAGTCCCTCACTAGTTATGCACTGAAAGTTGTTCATTATTTTCAAAAAAAATATATTAGAAATTCTCATACAGTTAAAATAATATACAACAAATAAAAAAACAACAACAATTAAACAAGTATTAAAAAAACATAACAAATTTTTATCTAATGACTTTCAAAGTCTACTTCACAAATATTTCACTTATATAATTTTTTTGTCAAATAAAATATTTAATAACATTTAAAAATGCAAAAAAATTTATTAAATATTATTATTAACAATATCATTTTAAAATATATTTATGTTTATTAGCAGTAGAAATAACATATCATATATTTATATTATTATTATTATTATTGTTATAATATTGTTATAATATATTAATTATTATTATTATTGTTTATTAAAAATTATCATTATCTTTTATTTTTTAAGTGTATTGCAATAATGATAGTTTATTATAATAAATAATAAATTAATTTTTCATTTAAATAAAAGAATCGTTAATTTCATTTATAGTTAAATTTTTCAAAATTTCAAAATTAATTTTTTTCTTTTCTGATGATATTTAGGGCATGTTAAAAAACATTGCATGACTGCAACTGCATGTGTTCTGCCTAGTGGCCAACTTCGTTTACCTGAGGATTATGCGGAGTCTAGAGACTTCAAGTCTCGACAGCGATCAGCAAGTTGGCATGGGAAAACAACAGATCTTATAGAACTCTTTCTTGATGGTTATGATGTCATAACTGCTGTACCTCCAGATACTTGTAGTGATTCTGATGAAATGAGTGTTTCATACTCTTCCCATCAAGATGAAATGTTTGAAGAAAGCAGTGACGACGGTATAGAAATAGACATTTCAAAAAAACTTGAGGTTGATTTATCAGAGTATACTGTTGTACCACTGCCATCTGCACAGACTTTTTATGGTAGTGGAAAAATAAGATCATCAAACAACGGTTTTCATCACAGCTATAGTGGTAGTTATGGCCAAAGCTGATCTTTTTTTATTTAATGTTTTGTCTTTGTTATTTATCTTTTTTTATGTATTCAATTTTTATTTTGTTATCTTTTGTTGCAGTTTGCAGTTTGTGACGAAAATATGAAAAAAATTAAAAAAAAAAAAATTTTATACATAATGTTGTTTGATAACAAATGCTTAGCATTACTCTTTTGAGAAATTATTTCTATTTTTTTAAAAACACTTTTTACACCAAAAGCATTTAATTTATTTTTCATATTAGATGTGTTTTAAGCATTATCATTTTTAGTTTATTTGGTGAGGCAATTTTCAAATTTTTTTTTATTGAATAATAGTATTACTAATTACTAATAAATTATATAAAAGAATTAATATTTAAATAAAACTATGACTTTTTTTCTTAAAAATGAAACTTTATTTATGGTTCTAAAAAAAATGTAATGTGGTTATGAAAATTAAAAATAGCCTAAATCAAAATATTTTTCAACTTGATTGTATCTTCTCCATTATATATATATATATAATATATATATATATATATATATATATATATATATATATATATATATATATATATATATATATATATATATATATATATATATATATATACATACAGCCCTCAGAATTAGGGTCGGCATTTGGCAATGCCGACCTAACTGCCAACCCTAAAGTGTTTGAGGTCATCAAAAAATTACCGACCTCATTTTTATTTTTTATAGTAATCCCTCTGTGTCAAACTTTCTAACCTGATACCAACCTCTAACAGTTTGAGGTTGGCAATTTATTGCCGACCTTATTTTCACTAATTCCGAGAGTTGTATATATATATATATATATATATATATATATATATATATATATATATATATATATATATATATATATATATATATGTATACACAGTGCTCAAAGTGGAGAAAAAAAGATAACGAGATGGTATTCGGTAAATTAAAAATACCATCCCGCCTAATCATTGTTATATATAAAGATTTATAAAAAGATGGTGGGATGGTTTATACTTTATAAAAAGGTGTCGGGATGGTATACCGCCTCATCCCGCCTTTATTCGAGCACTGTGTGTATATATATATTTATATATATATATTTATATATATATATATTTATATATATATATTTATATATATATTTATATATATATATATATTTATATTTATATATATATATATTTATATATATATTTATATATATATATACATATATATATATATATATATTATATATATATATATATATATATATATATATATATATATATATATATATATATATATATATATATATACACACACATATACACACATTTATATACAATATGTTTAATGTTAATAACTTATTAAAAAATTTTGATTGCTTTTTTTTTTTTTTTTCGAATGATTCTTTTATTTAATTTAAGTTTTGCATGTTTTTTTTTTTTTGTTTAAACTGTGTAGTAGGTAATATGTTTTTTGATATTTTCTATAAGGAATTTTTGATTTGCAATTTTTCTTAACAGTTTTTGTCTTTTTTATATACTAGAGTTTATTAAATAATTGAAATACAAGTTTATTGTTATCCAAAATTCATTATTTTAGTATGAGTTGTAAAAAATAAATGTCTTTTATAATGACTTCAAAATCTTTAGTATCTTTTATAAAGGTTGTCCATAAGTTATGCAACAAGTTATGTAAATTTTACTAATAAAAAAAATAGATCAAAAGTTTTTTATCACAAACTTTTTAATTAAACAAAAATTAAAATAGCGCTTTAAGTCAAACAAAAATTGCAGCTGCACAAAAAAGCAAACGATTTTTTACCTTTTTTTATAATAAATTAAATTAACGTTGCATAAGTTATGAACATTCCCATATTAAGCCCATTAGTAGTTATAGTTAGATTACATAAAAGTGTTACCCAAAATTTATAAAAATGTTATAATTTAATTCGTCCATTTTAAAAATTATTAAAATTGTTTTATTCAAGATAAATTATTTAAATTGTAAATAAATAACCAATTATAAACATAAAAGCTTTAAAATGACTTTTTGGCTATTTGGAAAAGGTAGATAAAAGTATTTAGGAAGTAAAAGTTGGTGGTTGGTAAAGAAACTAAGCAAAAACTAACTTTAGTTTTAATATATTTGGCTTTCTTAAACATTATTCAATTTGGTCTTCCTAATAATAGTTTTATTCAAAAGTTAATTTAGAAATCTCATAGAAAATTTCTTTGTTGGTAAAACTAATAACAAAAACAGATAAACAGATAAAGCAAAACAAATAAGGCAAAACAAATAAGTAGAAATGATAAAAAATAAATAAAATTTTTATAATTCCTACTATGCACTGACGTTATCACATTTGGTCGTTTGCATAAAAGCAATTTTGTTAATTTAAATTGTTATAACAAGTAATTGGTGATAAAAACCACATAAAAAATCTCACACTATTTTCCTATCATAATAAACTCATAATAAATTGCCTAGCTATTCATTTTATAAAAATGAGAGCACTACCATTAGCTAACTAAATATTACATTTGTAACTAGGTGCCCCTGGTTTCTTATGTAAATACCAAAATTTACTGCATTACCAAAATTAATTGAATTGTGGTAATGCCAGTGCTTAATTCTTACATAAAAGTTTTCTAACCCCTAAACACAAAAAAGTTTTAAAAACTGTTAGAATACCTTTTTTTTTTAGGTTAATTTTTAGGTTATCTTTTAATCACTTTTTTTGTTAATAGATAATTTATATTTGCTTATAAAAATTTAAATTGAATAAAACAATTGGATTGTTAGTAGGTTTAAAAATTTTAACTAATTAAAATAGATGAAAATAAATAAAAGTTTCATTATTAATATTATTAATTAATGGTAGTAATTAAACTGTTAATCTAATCTATTTATTTATATTATAATGTTCAATTTAAATTATTATAGTTAGAAACAAAATAAAACAGCTGTTATACTAATTTATTACATTTTGAATATGGCTGCCATGAATGGATTGATAGATGGAAAAGATTATGACTTGACTATTGGTTCGACTTTTTTGCCAAATAAACAAACCGAAGCATATTACACTATGAGATGTATGTTGCTTTTTTTTTGTATTTTATCAAGTAATATATATATATATATATATATATATATATATATATATATATATATATATATATATATATATATATATATATATATATATATATATATATATATACATATATATATATATACAAACATATATGTATATATATATATATATATATATATATATATATATATATATATATATATATATATATATATATATATATATATATATGTTTGTTTCTGAACAGATTTTGAAAAAAGTAAAAAAAGTTTAGTTAAAAATTTGTCTGTTTAACCTTTATTATACATGCTTGTCTGTTTAAGCACTTTTAGATAATACTAAAATACTTATTTTATTGAAAAATGCCTAGACTAAAACAAGATAGTAAATGACAATTTAAAAAGAGAAATAAATAGAATAAGAAAGTTAAAGATTTTCTAAATGACAACAAGAAATAGTTTATTTACATTTGAAATTTTGTCTCAGAAAAAAACTTCTAGATTCTGGTGTGAAAACTTGCAAATTAGATTTTTTTAAATAAATTTTTTTATTAAAAATTTATTTTTGGTTTAAAGAATGCACAAAATATTGATTAAAAAATTTTTTTTTCTTGAAATTTGATTTTTTTTAATGAGTTATTTTGATTCTTTTGCAGATGATTTTAAGCCAGCTTCTGTAGACACAAGTCGACCTGGTGAAGTTGTGATTGGAGCAAAAAATGAATGTACAGTCACAATACCTAATCATGTATGTTTTTTTACATTTAAAAAAAAACCTAATTTTATTTAATTTACAAAAAAAGTAGTACTTAAAATCAGTTTTTAGTACAAAAAATCAGTACTTAAAATCAGTACTAAAAATCAAGCTGTATTTTTACACAATTACAGTTTCTATACTCCAAAATAATTTCTGATCAGTTTTAAAAAAATTTAATATTCATTATAATTTTAGACAGTACAAGTACTTTTTTTCAAACTTGTTTCACCTCACAAATGTATTGGGTGGAAGTAGTGGTTTTTTTTTTTGTATTTTTTTGTTTGCATTGCTTTTTAACTTTTTTTAAATATATAAATATAAGTTATATATATAATTATATAAGATAATTTATATCTGCTTCACAGTGCACTTGTATGTATAATTTTATATCTATTTTCAAGTGCATTTGTATGTATAGTTCTATATTTACTTCACAATGCATTTATATGTATAACTTTATATTTCTTTTACAGTGCACATGTATGCATAAAAAGATGCAAAAAAAAGTGTAATAAAATTTCAGGACACAATAATATATTTATATATATATCCCTATGGCATGTGAAAAATTGCTGTTACCAATTTTTTTTATTACTTTGTTAATGTTTGGAACTATTTTGTAATTTAATATTTCAAAGTTTATTTTAGTATGTTTTTACTAGGATTCCGGTTTCACTACTTATAAAGGTGGAAAGAAACCATGTTTTAAAGAATGCATTCTTATCATTGATCAACAAACAGGTGTAGGTATTTTAGTTTAAGTTAAATCTAAGTATTTAAAGTTAAACCTATTGCAACTTTTTTATCTGTTACAACTAGAGTTGCAAAAAACATTTTTTATCTTTGGAGTCATCCATAAAGTGTGATAAAATGAAACTTTAAGTTTAACTAATGGCAAGAAGTAGTAGAATATTGGCTCTCGAGCGCAGAGACTTTAAGAGAATATACCGCCTTATGTTCAATGAAAATCTCTGCGGATGCGAGTCAATTCTGAAATGGCGTCCTTTATGGACGACTCATTTGGTATTTTTTAGGTTAAAAAACATGTTTTTGTGTGTGTTTTTTTGGATTTTTTTTTTGGTGTTTTTCTGCTTTTTTGAAGCAGATTTTTAGTTTTTTTGGCATAAGTTTTGGAATAGTTTTCCTTAATTCTAGTTTATTTTTAGTATATGATCATTAAAAATCATTATATATCAAGACATACTGTATGGGAGTGTTTATTTGTCATGTTCAGTGCTTTATAGGAAGATGTGCGATCACACGCAATTATATGACCATGTAAAAAATACTTTGTTTTAATGAATTGACCATGGCTTTTAACATGTTTTTAAATTTTAAAATGCGCTAATAAAAATCTAAAGAAAACTTAACGAGAAAAAAAAAAAAAAAAATTCAACTAAAGCTAAAAAATAATATTTATATATAAATATATATATATATATATATATATATATATATATATATATATATATATATATATTATGTATTATATATACATATATTATATATATATATTATATATATATATATATATATATATATATATATATATATATATATATATATATATATATATATATATACATATATATAAATATGTGCTGTGTTTATCATTTGTGATTAATTTATTAATTTAAGTTTAATTGTCCAATTTAGTTCTTGCTCAAGCTTGTAATATTGTTTTAAAAAAATTTCTTTGAAAATAGATTAACTTAAGTACTCAAGTGAAAGGAAATTTTATATAAATCCAAAAAAAATTGTTAAAGAAGATATCAAAAACTTATAGAAACTCGTGTTTTTTATTTTTGATATAAAAACTGTAGTTTTATCTGCAATAAAATCTTAAAAAAGGATTAACACAAACGATAACCACACCACATTAAAAACACTAAAGAGGATTTTAAGGCACCATAATATCTATATATACATACAAAATTTTTAAATTTTCTTTGAAATTAAATTCAGTATAGGGCTTTTTTTTTATAACGCCCTACATGTGATATATATTTTAATAAATATATATAAATAAATATAAAAAAAATGTCTAAATTACTACACAATATACAATTGCTCACAGAATTAAACAATATCGATAGGTTGCTTATTTCTTTGAGCATTTGAAATCTGATATTAAATTGGCATGGTATTATATACTAATATATTTACATTATCAAAATTAAAATGGTAATTTTTTTATAGAATAAAAATAGTTTCTATATACAATTAGAGTATCACAGTTGTTAGGAAGTACAACATCAATGTTTCACAGGAAGAAGTGTGATAGCATGTCATTATATGACCAGGCAAAAATCATTTTGCTTTGACTATTTGACCGCTGCTATTTAAAAAAACATTCCAAAAACCGCGCTGAATGAAATATATTTAGAATTACACCATCAGTTAAATAAATTACATCGAAATCTTCTTAACAAACTTTTTTATCTTAGCAAAATGCTTTTAAATAAAGTAACAATTTGTTGATAATTAATTTTTTTTAAAGAATCATTGACAGTTGTATATAATTTTTCAAATGTATAATGTATAAATTATTTAGGTATGCATTTTTTATAATAAACGTTATTAAAAAGAAATATTTGTTTTGATAAATGATGACTTTCTAAGACAATGAAAACTTCTTTAACAAATTTTAATATAAGAATCATCAAAGTTAATACATTTATAAAGATAAAAATTTATTTGAAAAAAAAAAGGTTTTGAAAGCTGTTACAATCAGGTCTGCTGAGAGGAGGGGGGCAAAAGAGTCAGCTTGTCTCGGATGGCAACCCAAAGGGCGCCAAATGAAAAGAAGATACTAAAAATCCCCCCCCCTAACCTCTCAAACACATGATTGCAAATGGTTAAGATCAACTCTTCCCATCATTTTTACCAAAAAAACAAAACATAATCTAAAAATAGATAGATCAAGCTACGAAAATAACTCTCATGGTATTTTTGAAATTTTGTTAAGTGACCCTGCCCCTACTATAAATGCAAAAACTTAAATTTTTTGCAGTTTTAGACAGCTGGGACCAAATTTTCATCTGCACTGGTGGGGGAGTTTTTTTTTGATTTGTAAAAAAGTATTATTATTTTAAGTTAATACAAGTAAAAGTTCATCTTTTGCCGCTATGTCATTGCCAAAAAAATAAAATATGTTTTTTAGTCATACCCCTAATATATATATAATTATATATATATATATATATATATATATATATATATATATATATATATATATATATATATATATATATATATATATATATATATATATATATATATATATATATATATATATATATATATAGTCTTGCATGGTAGTCACAAAGTTTTTCCCATAAACTGTTGTTTTAAAGAGCGTGTTAATAAGCCTGACCAGAAAATGTTGAAAAACTTTAAAAAAATATTTTTTATTTTTTAAATGATAGACTCCCTGCCCAAACCAAACCCTCAGTCGATGTAACATTTCGACGACAATAAAATGCAGCTTAAGAGATTAAGCACTATGCGTTGCGAAGCGGAAATAGGATTTTACTTACTTCTCAGAAAAAATTTTTCAATTTTAATATTTTAAATATTTTTTAACTTAAATAATAAAAAAAAGTTTTTTTAAAATTATTTTAAATTTGCCTTTTTAGGTGCGGGATTTTTAGGGGTAAAAAAACCCATGTTTTCACTAAATTTTTAAATTACATAAGATAATTTTCAAATTTCTTCATTTTTTTTGCACATTTTCTAATAAATGATACATTTTGTAAATTAAAAACCAAGAAAAGAAAAAAAAAAAAATTTTTGGGTGTCTGTAAAGATTGATCGATTAGACCATGTTACTACAGAGGTAGCCAGTTTTTTATTTTTTTTAAATTTTCTCAAACAAATTGACTTTTTATAAGTGAAATAGTATTCTGGCTACCTCTGTAGTAACATGCTATAAAATCAATTCAAAAGAGGTGGATTTATTAAAAACCGGTTAGTTAGTTTTTGTCAAGAAAAAACTGGATGTGGGCGGAACATTCTTTTCTAGTCTTTAAGTTATAACCTAAGTTTGGCTCTCATCGTGATTTAGAATTTTTTAAAAATGGTTACTTTTAGTCTTAGCAAACTTCTGGCTGATGATTTTCCTCCAAGGCATATTTTCACGAGTAAAAATGTATCTGAATGTGCTATATTTTTGCAGTCCAAGTTTTTATCACTTTATGCTGATTGCACTGTGTATTTAAACATTTTCAAAAGTCTGGCTTTTAATTTAATAAAAAAATTTAATGAGTGTGGAAAAAGGAAAAAGTTCTTTCTTACTAAATATAAACATTTTTTGGATCAAAATCAACAATGCAAATATCTCTTGTGAGTATAATATATTCTATATTGATTTATTATAAATAAGTAATAAATATTGCATTATAGTATATATATATATATATATATATATATATATATATATATATATATATATATATATATATATATATATATATATATATATATATATATATATATATGTATATATATATATATATATATATATATATATATATATATATATATATATATATATATATATATATATATATATATATATATATTATACTTGTGCGTGTAGATTAGAAAAAGATTCTGAAAAAGAGATTAGAACACATGAGGAAGAACTGCTATTAATTAGAAAAGGTGAAAATCTGATTAAACAGGGTAATCAACTTATCAACCAGGGTGAGCGTAAAATAAAAGAAGGGGAATTACTACTTCGTACTCATGGATCCAATGTAAACAGGTATGCATAGATAAATGTATCTCTCTTTATTTTGCGCACACACACATACAAATTGTTTGACTATGTTTCACAAAACCTTCAAAATGTATATATCTTTCAATGTATTTTTTTATTATTTATAGTGTACCATGTAGAGTACCTAAATCATCTGCAGTCAATACATCTTGTACACCAAAACCTAGAAAGTCTTTTATTAAGCTTACAAACAGGATGAAGCGTAAAAGAACAGATAGTCTTAGAGAACGAGAGGTTGAAGAACTGCAACATGCTGTCAAAAGGTTTAAATCTAATTCTTCTACTGATGGTAGGCCTATTTTATATGGTTCAAATTTGTCATTGCAAGCTCTTTGTAATTTGAAACTTACAGATAGAACATGGACTGAATTTAAAAATATAGTGACTCATAATCGTCATCTTGTTCCTCCAGGTTTAACCAAATTGAAGCAATACAAAAAATTGACATATCCAGAACAGGTTGAATATTCTGAAACCAAAGTAAAATGTAGTCTTTTCCATATGATAAAGCATTCAGTTTCTAGAGTGTTTGAATATCTTTTGGATTATGAAAGTAACTGCATAATGAGTTTATCACAAGAAGAGCGTGATAATGTACAAATTATTTGCAAAGTAGGTGGTGATGGTCAAAGTGATCAATCTGAGTTTCAAAATTCAGCAACTATGAAAAGAGGTGTAGATGATCGCTCTGTGTATAGTATAGTGTTTGTACTGCTGGAGATCCGAAGTGGAGAAAAAATAATATGAAAAAATTTAATTCCAAATAGTCCAGATGCAACCCGTCATTTTCTTTTTTGTTTTGCAAAAGAGACTGCTAGTTTTATTCAGGAAAAATTTGAACATTTGAAAAATGAAATTTTTTTATTGAAGAATATTGAATTTAAACTTGGTGAAAAAACTTTTGTAGTAAAGTCTAGTTTGTCAACTATTTATACCACAATGAATGATGGCAAAACACTAAACGCTGTTGTATCAAATATGCTTAAAAAAAAAAATTTCATCTCAGTCCTGCCATGTATGCCTTGCAAATTCTAAGGAGTTTAACTTGAAAACTATTTGGAAAAAAAAATATTAATTTAAACAAGCATGTTTTGAAACTTGGAATTTGCAATCTTCATCTATGGATGCGCTGTATAAAGTGGATTTTCAATACTGCTTGTAAACTCCCAGCTGTTAAGCAAGGAAAAAATATTCCATCACAAAAGAGTAAAGAATTTATTGAAAACAAAAAAAATTCTAGCATTTATTCAAGATACAACTTAATATAAGGGTTTCTTTTGTCAGGAAAGGATGTGGAACAACCAATACTGGAAATGTTGCTCGCAAATTTTTTAATAACCCGATTGTGACGGAGAATTTTAAACTTGGATATCAGAATGATTAGGTTGTTTCGAGTTTACTCATTGATATAAACAGAACAACTACAAGACCGGATATAAAGGTTTTCAAACAGAAATCTGAGCATCTATTTGCACTCATAACTAATGATAAATTTTTAAAAACCATACCTATATCACAATCTGTGCATAGAGTTCATGGTACTTCTTTTATAAGGTATTTTAAGTATTCGATAGGTTCTTTATCTGAGAGT